CCGGCAACAGTTTTTATCGATTTAGCCGACGACAGTATTACCGACAATGACATTGACCGATGACATTATTGTGATATTTCGTTCGTTATTGGTTTTTCTAACGATAATGCAAGGTTTAGTTATATTTTATTTTCAGTTGATAATATAACTTCTGCGATAACAGAACCATCGTTTTCTGGATATGGTCGAGACAGTTTTGTATAATTAACTATTTTCACTACCAATAAGAATGGTTATGACTCTATTCGACGTACTAGAAGCAATAAAGACCATAGCAAACTTAGGCGACGTCTGTGGCGATATGCAATTGTGTCTAATGTTGTTGTCGGTCAATCTCATTGTCGATGAAAACTGTTGTCGGGCAAATCTGAAGTCGATAAAATATCGTCGGAGAAATCTCTGTTGATGATTTCGATGGGACCTTGTCCTGATCGTAATTTGTAAACGAGCGTATGCGTATTGTAGAAATTGAATTTTCTCGTGTGCCATTTCCGCTTAACCCATTTTAACCATTTTCACTTGACCCTTATTATATCTTAACCGCTTGTTCTTGGCAAATTTTTTTTGTATCATCCATCTCTAGCAATTTATTTACGAAGCATCGTTTCAAATCAAATGATACAGCATTGGAAATAATTTTGTTGATTATATCTTTCTAATCATTTCTAGTATTTCTAACTCAATACTTTCTCAAACTGATCTTTTCTTTTCTTTCTCCCGGCTTATATATCTCTGAATAATAAAGAACTCGTTATAAATTCGTAAAAACTTGCTCCAAACGTAATATAAAATTCCTGTCAATTTTCCAATCAAATCTCGAATCTGGACCTCTCATATCTCAACTCTTTTTATCTATCTTGGATACTTGGATTGATTTTTATTCGTTTCTCTGATCCATCCATATCGTACGTTACTTAATTATAGTAACTTTAATGACAATAATAATACGTAATAATAATAATAATAATAATAATAATAATAATAATAATAATATTAATAATAATAATATTAATAATAATAATAATAAACTACCCAATAATAACAACTTTCTATTAATTCCTGAAAATTCACTTTGCGAACGTGGCACAATCAATTTCAATCGCAACACCAAACCCGAGTCAAACTCAAGCACGCTCTGACCTTTTCGTATCATTCTTATCCAACGCACCGCTCCCCTTTTCCCTACCCCTCTCTTTCTTCCCGATCCAGCCCTATTATACTAAACCATTGTATCATACATCACCAAACAATGAATCTTCGTCAGTTGAGAGAAATTCCCTCTCCAAAGGGGAAAGCCCAAGAATCAGTGTCCGTTGTTAGACAGTATCAGAAGTGGAGGGGTGCGGATTATCCACAGGAAAAAAAAAAAAATTGACAAAAAAAAAAAAAAAAAAAAAAAAAAAAAAAAAAAAGAAGAGTAAAGTAAATTAAAAGTAACAGGTTAATTAATGATAATACGATTATTTCGTAGTGTGCAGTTACGCAGAGTTTTCGTGAATGGGAAAGAGGTGAATGGAAATGAAATCGTAAGTAAAATAGTAGAATGTAATGAACATTGTACCCAAAGTGCGAAAATCGCGGGACATTTAACCGCGTATACAGAAGCTCGTACATACATGCGAGGCGTCTTGCATCGGTTAGAAAAAGATAAATAAATAGAATTGAGAAAAGAGTTTCGATCGAAAGTCGAAGGAAACGATGAGAGGAGAGCGTCGCTCGCAATTTTTGCACTTCGGTATCAAAACAATATCTCCTGGGTCCCCCGAAATAGGGCATACGAATATAGCGCTACGTATACACCGGTTACACATGTGTACATATATTTTTGGATAAAGAACCCAGAAGAAAAAGAAGAAAAAAAGAATTTTAAATCGAAATTCGGGCCACGACGCAAAACCACGAAGTTATCTCGGTGGATCGTTTCTCGACGCGAGGATCGTTCACGAACGAACAAAAGTTCAAGCAGAGAAAAGAATAGAAAAAATAGAATAGGAGATATTATATAGCATGAAAACGAGTGAAAGGAAATACCGTTGTCCTTTTATTTTTTATTTTCTTTTCTTTTCGTAATTTTCCGCGAAATCGAAGAGGATTATCGATTATCGTTGATTGCATTATGCGATCGATTTTCTCGTTCAACGATCTGTGGCGAAGAAATATCGTCTCTCCCGATCGTAGAATTGTAATATTTTAAGAATAAGCGAGTCGAAAGAAGGAATATCACAAGAGAAAAGATGATAATAAAAGACAAGAGGAGAATAGGAGAGACCCAAAGTGATCCATTGAGAGAACGTTTCGCATGCGTCGGGTCCAAAAAAAATGTATTTATGAATATTTATTTACGCGAGGTTAAATGAAATGAAAAAAAAAGAAGACGAAGAAGAAAATGATGAATGGAATAAAATCTAATATATTGACAATTTAATAAAATAGATGGTCATAAGTTTAAGATGTAAGTTTTATAATGAATATATATATATATTATATATATATATATATATAAATCTATATATATATATATATATTTACTTGTAAAGCGTTTTATTGCCTTTCGCTGAGTTCGATCGCGCCAAAAAAAAGAGCCGAGCGAGCGGAAGGAATAGTGAAGCAATGATAAATGAGAAAGAAATGAGGAGAAACTCACTTTCAATTCAAAGAAATTTAAAAAAATTAAAAAAACAGTAACAAAAAAAAGAAAGTCGGTCAACACATCGGTGAACGCGAACAGATGAACGTGAATGTTCGTAAAGACAAAGTAATTAATTAAACGTCGAGGAGTGATCTTCGTTTTTTGTCGTACCATCGTGAACGTTGACGATGTAATTTATTATTATTACTATTATTATTATATTAATATTATTATTATATTATATTATTATTTTTTTTTTCTTGTTTCTTTTTCCACTCCATGTTTTCTTTAATTCTCGATATTGCGTTTAGGGCAGGCGACAACAAAAAAGAGAAACGTGACAAGCGATAAAATATGTCAAAGCATCGATCGGCGTGCATTTCGGTTTCGATCGATCGATCGAAACGAGAAAATGACGCGAAATGCACGTGGATCAATTACGAAACAAAAAGAAAAAAAAAGAAAAAACAACATACACATACAACAACAAAAAAAAAGAAAACGAAAGGAAAAAACAAAATCGCGGGTGTGCTTTTGAGCGATGATAAATCACATATACACACGTATACACAGCACGCACACGTACAGATATAAGAAGGAAAAAAACACACACACAGAAACACGGATACACGCGTACAAACACATACATACACACTGTATGCTTAGAGTTTAGTAGCGATTTATAGACGATAAGCGATAGAATAATTTAAACTGATCATTGCTATCGATGACTATTATTGAGATAAGAGTACATTTAGACGAAGAATATGTTATTAAGTAAGATGTAATTGTCCTTTGTGAATATACATAAGAGAGAAATGAGAAATACAAGAAACTTTTATGATAAAAGAAGACTTGATCATTTTTCGTACTTCGTGTAACCAGTCGTGAGCAAACGAAATAAGACAGAATGAATGCCAAATGAGAAAGAAGAAAGAAATTTATTTTAGTGTTTTTCATGCGTAGATAAATGATCAACCACATGCACACATATTTTTGGGGGCAATTCCGTTGATCATTCGTGTACACGTGGGTGAGATATTATAGAAGCATTGAAGAGATTCCATCCTACACATATGTACGTGTGAATGTATTTCCCTTTACATACGATACGTGCCGATCATTTAATCAGAAAAAAAGATCATTTCGAACGATGTATAACAAGGATGGCATCTAGTTGATTTCGTGGTTTAAAAGAAAAAGAAAAAAAGACCAAATCTTGATCTCTAAGTATATTAAATACGCTCATGGAACACTCGATCGATATTTTCCTCGTCGATGGTAAATGTTCATTTGATTGATTGAGATCAATGTAATGGATAACTTGCTTCGACATTTATGAAATCAGATACTTGTATTCACTTACATATAACGCATGTCATTTTCTACACGATCATTTCTCTTATTTATTGTAATGAAATTGCTTTTTATATAATATGGTAAAGAATATGTAGAAGTTGGAAAAAAAAAATTTGCAACGCAGATTCGATAAACCGAAGCATTAATCATGCATATCATGGTACAATAAAAATGTTATGTATTTAATATGAGTATTAAATGAATCGTACTCACCGAATAACCCTTCTTTCACTCTTTTTTTCTATTCTTACTCTTTTGATTGATGTTTAATAACGAAGATATCGAATTTCCAATATGGTGTTCACGTTTAAACACGTCCAATTCTTTTAACTGACTTCGATCGAACCACGATACGATAAATAAAATCGATCAATCGATTACGCATTACTGCTAATTTCTCGATGCAAGCCAAATATTCAGCAATGTAAGTTTATATAAAACCAGTTTCCGGCTAGACGTGTTGTTAGCATTAAATAATGATAATTATAAATGACATTTTTTTAATATTTTTACTTACGAACACACGTTAACAAAGTATGATTTAAATTCACTGTTACACTGAACAAATACACGTACGTATGTTTCAATTTACGGATTTCGCTAATCGAGACAATAATTCAATGTCGCAAAGCGAACTCTAACAAAAGATCGGAGAACTCTGTTACAGCTTACTATTTATTTATCGTTTATCATCTGACAAAAAGCGCCAAATTTGAAAATAAGAACATTCTTCGAACATACGCATATAAAAATAAGATCGCAATATTAATTTTGTAATCGTTTGGATATCAAGTACTGTAAAATTACATTTAAGTTTCCACGTTATCGATAAATGTCATAATATAAACATATAAATTTGATGGAATTTGTTTTATTGTAATAAAATTTGTTATATTCATAATATAGTTTTTTATTATTCACATTTTAATAATATCAATTAAATTAATATATAAATATGCTTATAAATGAGAGATAAGGTCAATATTGAAATGCAATTACTGTATGCAAATACTTTATGCTCAAAGAATCTTCATTTATTCATTTTCTCTAGTTGATAATAAATGTAATTCTGAGCTTTGAAGTTGCGTTGCATCCAGATTTTTCGTTTTAGTTTTTAATTCCAAAATAATGTGTCGGATTCCAGGAATCCATGTGCTACACAAATTAGCATGTTGCATCATTAGTGAAACATGTATTTCATCAGCTTTTTCAATATCTCCCTCTCGTAAAGCTGAAAATAGATTTTTTTTTCATGCCTCATAAAAGATAATGATTTAAGAAATGAATCACAAGACTGACCTGTAGATAAATCTAAAACATTTTTATATATTGTATTATTTAATTTATCTTCAAGCCATACTGCCTTTAATAAATCTAATCTCTTCCTTAGCTCTTCAGTTCTACTTTTTTCCAATATATGTTCATTAATCACAGATTCCAAATTTTTCAAAACAATGTTTAGTGTCACCTGTTTATCGATCATTATATCAGTCATATTTTCTTCTGTATTTTTGTTTGAAGGACATAACAATGGGGGATGAGATGCTGTTGTTAAACTAATAGAAGATTGCATTGGCGGTGGCATGTTTAGTGGTTTTTTTGCAGAAGATTCTTTATCTATAGTTTTTACAGAAGACATAGGAAATGCCACTCTCTTATTTAATACTCTCTTAGTAGGAGTTACAGAACTACTTTGTGAAGTAGAGTATGCCCATTTTGGAGGATCATTCCATCCAGGATCATGACCAGGTAATAAAACTTTCTGCAGAGAAAGATTCTGACCTGTAATATAAAATTACGTAAGCTATATTTTCATATCTTATGCGTTATTATTAGTTATATTATCTTGTCAAAATATTTGTGTTACTTGTTTCTTCCTCGCTCATTTTTGATTTGCAATCTTCTCCAATTACGTAGGAAGAAATGTTAAAAGACAGTAGTAAATAGGATAAAATTGGTTTAAAATTGATGTCGACATTAGATTTAAGAAACACATTTATAAATGTATTTACTTATTTGGTATTAACATATGTTTTTAATCACAATTTCGTCATCGTATACTCCGCGGTCGACAACTGTAACAATACAAATTACTAGAAAGTAAAAGTTACTAGCAAATAATATGCAAATATTAATTTCATTAAAATATATTGTTACAATCACAATTACATTTATATAATTGTAAATTTAAATAATCTAAGATCCATTATATTTTTTATATTATAATAATATACAGAGAAATATATATACTACAATATATATGTATTTATTTAATTTATGAACAATGCGTGCAACAAAATGCATAACATTAAATAGGAAAAAAATATTATTGACCAATTATAAAATAGTAGAGGTTATATACAGGTTATAAATAGAATATAATAAAGTTCCTCATTAATCATTCAATATCAATTAACATGCAAGCCTGTATTAAATTATTGATAAATTTAATATATGAACGTAACATAACACGAAATACGATTTAAATCTATTTAGTTGTAACTTTCATAGTGAAAGAACATAATCATGAAGTTGCTTTACCCTTCTAATATTTACCAAGAGTCTTGGTTATTGCTGAGTATAACAATATTATTAGGTAAAATATTAATTAATTAGTGAAAGTATAAAAAAAAATATAATTAAAAAGTATAATTAAAAAGTGAAAGTATAAAAATTTTTTAAAAATTAATTTTTAAAAAAATTTGAACATACGTACTTCAATATCAGACTACGAATATTTTTTCTTTACAGGTTTATATCCTATCAAATTTTTCACAAGTACATTGCCGAATTATATACATGTTTTTGTATTAATAATGCTTTATTGGTTTGGTTATGGCGTAATAATAAGGCATTATGTAGCTGCCTTGTTTTATAAATTTCGAGACATAAATCATACATTTCTTATCAGATATCTCCGAATTCAAATAAATTTCTTTCTGTGTCCTATGATAATAATTTCAAGCATGCGCCAGTGTTTAAAACTAAAAGAAGTATTCAAACAATTAGATATCGTTGATAAAAATGTAAAGTTCTTGAATATAGAGATCGATCACACTTTGTGTATGAAGAATGATATCGTCAGAATTACTACTACGATATTTATAGTACTAATGTGCAATTTAATAGATTATTATGGATTATTAGACAACGATTCAGACTTTCAATATCTTTTGATGTGGATATTAGATCGACTACCTGACTTTGTTTGTGCGATAGTAATATGTTCTTTTACTGTATTTATGAATAAAATCGAAATTAGATTTAGACAAATAAATACGATATTAAATGTTATTACGAAAGGAAAACATTTCATTTCAATTTCTGAGATGTCTGATATGAACAACGGTACGTTCCCAATAAAAATTTTTGCAAATTATTTTATACTAGAACAAACAGCTTATATTGAAATTTAGTTTCTAGATACAAATTATTAAAATGGCTTCGATTTGAATTACGTAGAACCGTGTCACTCTTAATTGAAGCACATACTTTTCGATTCAATCTCTTGACAGTAATATACGTTGCATATATATGTCTACACATGTGTATCTTCTATAATCATACCCTTGACAGTTTTTATTTAATTGATATAGCATTAAGTTTTATATGGGGTATCGTTGATTTAATCAAACTTGTCTACATAATTTATTCATATCGCAGTTTGACAATAGAGGTAATTTCAAAATATTATTATACATATAAGTCAATTGTATCTGTATATAAGACAATATTGTTATATTGTTTTTTCAGCATAGTTAAAAATGAATAAGAATATGCATTAAATCCAATTATCAAATTTTGAGGATTGCTCGCAATTTCTTAAAATCATGCGTTCGTCTAGATACCAACTGATTAACAATAAATTACAAAGCGTACTATCTTTCGTCAAATAGATGAAAATTTTCAATTAATTATTTATTACCCACCTTCTCGTCTATTTCTGTAATTTTATTATGATAATAAATAGAAAGTGGAAGAAAATACATTCGCATTTTTATTTAAATGTCCCTTTAATAATGTTCTAATTTTTTATTATGACGTGTCCCGTCAGCGTGCATTAAGCGCATGCGCAATGCCACCTTACGTGGCATCGGCAGCAGTCACTATTGCAGCGAAATATATTTTCTTCATTTAGTGTAAACATTTGTGGAAATATTAACTTTTGTTATGGTTCAAATACGTTTAATGACACAACGTGAGTAATTTATATTTCGTAGACATTTGGCAAATTACTTGTTCGAGTAGCACGTTTATAAGCATTACTGTATGCAAAATGGCTTATTCTATTTTACTATTCTGAAGTAATATTTATCAGTAATTTATCACGTAAGACGAAACTGATTAACTAATTAATGTATAAATTTTGTTTAAAATCAACATTCAATAAAGTATATAATAATTGTGCATTTAATTTTGTATAGGTTATCTTACGTCTGTCAATATGTAGCATATTTTGAACTTCTATCTCCAATTTACGAATTCATAATTGCGCTAAAGCACGTGTCACCTATAACATTATGCAAATTAGTCTATGCACTTGAGTTATATATTTCATGAACATAAATATGCTTATTATTTTTAATAAATTTAATTTTTTTCATGTAGTAGCGATACCAAAAATTTAATATTAAAAAATAATTTAATTCAATTTTTAATATCTTTGCGATTATATTTTTTTTTTTAAGTATGTAATTGAAATAGTATAAAGAAAGATACTAAATTCCATTAAGATAATTTGTTTCTTTTTAGGATAAAAAATGAATCCACAATATATACAGCAACAACAATCACAACAGCAAGAACACTCACAACAACAGTCTAGTTACTTTCCTGGTCCTCCAACTTCATCTCCATATGGAGAAGTAAATTCTAATGTTCCACCAAATATGTTAAAAAGACCACCAATGAATTCCCAATTATATACTACTCAGAAAACAATGCAAGGTCCTTCCCTTACTAATTTACATCAGGCTCAAGCACCGTATTACATGAATAATATACAAACACAAGGTAATGTGATTTATTTTTATACCTCTTCATAAATTATGTTTATCTCTATAACAAAATGTCCTTTTTTAGGAAATACTCAGTATGAATTATCTACAAATAATCCACATATACAACCTCCAACAAGTCAAAATAATATAGTTAATCAAATGTCAAATATGTCTTTGGGAGATCAACAAAGACCGCCATCTGTGGTAACTATATAATTTATAAATAACATAAGCATACTTATAGAGTGTTTAATACATCAATTTATATTATATATTACAGCAAAATTTTCCTCCACCACCTCTACCTGGAAAGAGCAGTCCAACAATATCAAATATAAATGGCTTTAATAATACATCAGAAACATCACCAGGAAGTGGTAACAGAAAAATAATTCAATTAAAATCTATTAAAATTAATATGTTAATTAAGTTAATAACTTTATTTTAACAGGTCCTGCTGGGCAGACTGATCCTGGTGGAAAATCTGGATCAGCTATTCTTGGACAGAATCTACAAGAACAAAAGGCCACTTTAAAAACTTCAACCCCACAGCTTATTGGTCTTCCATTCTCAGGACATTCTACAGGAACCACTTCCAGCCATTATCACGCTGGGCAAACTTTGTCATCTGAACAAGCATTCAATGCAGGATTGTCTTCAAGTCAACATCAACAAATGAATGTTACTGATACATCTGAACAATCGAATTTTTCCAAGCCACCAATGGGACAAAGGTCTACAGCACCACCATTACAGGGACAACAAAATGTATCAAATTCATCGTTACCTGAACAACAAAATCTCTCTAACCCAGTAATGCCGGGTCAAACAAATTTATCAGGGCCTCCATTATCAAATCAACAAACGTATAATAGTATGATTATGCAAGGACATGGACAACAAAATTTAATAGGACCGTCAAAACAGAATTTATCAAATCCGCTATTTCAAACTCAACAAACTTTATCTGGTCCTCTTCTTTCTACACCACCTTTACCCCCAGGACATTATTCTGCATTACAAGGACAAAAATCCAGTCATTCTTTTCTAGAACCGCAAAATATATCCACTTCTAATTTATCTGGACCTCTACTAATGAATCAACAAAACATACATCCATCTTCAGTAGCAGGTCAACAGAGTGGTGCTCCACCTTTATTAACAAATCAACAGAGCTTTAACAGGCCGCCATTATTAGGACAACAGACTGTAACTAATTCGCAAATGCCACCTCCATTACCTTCTCAATCAGTAGGACAAATGATAAATCCTGGCACAAATTTACTACAAACTGGTCAAAGACCATACACGTCTGGACCACCAGTGCCAGGACAACATATGGGAAATCCATTAGCAATTAGTCGTAATCCATCCAGTGCAATGCCAAACTATCAACATACAGGATATCAAGGCTATAATAACGTACGCTTATTTCTAAAATATTTCGAAAGTAATAATAATTGAGTTACCAGAAATTATAATTAAAAATCTCTTCCTTCATATTAGGATATGTATAATATTCAAAGAGGTTCATATCCAACTGTTCCACCTGGTGTAACAAGTGGATATCAGCCTGGTATGCAATCACAACAAGCTAGACGTTTGGATCCTGAACAGATGCCAAGCCCAGTAAGAAATTATATGTAAAACTATTAAAATTTCTTATAATTTGGTTTTTTAGAATGACTTCAAACATATTTTTATAGATCCAAGTAATTCAAGATGATCAGCGTGTAAGAGGTGGTGTATTTATAACCAATCAAAAAGGATTGGTTCCTCCATTAGTAACTACCAAATTCATAACGCAAGATCAAGGAAATGCATCTCCTAGATATATCAGATCTACCATGTACACTATTCCTACCACAGCGGATATTATAAAACAAGTATATTGAATAATCTTTACAGATCAAATTGTCAACATAATTATGTACAATTTTCATAATAATAATTTTTTTTCCAGACGAATGTTCCATTTGGTCTAATAGTAAGTCCAATGTCTCGTATAGCGAAAGGAGAATACGAACCACCTATTGTAGATATGGGTGAAATTGGTCCAGTGCGTTGTGTGAGATGTAAAGCATATATGAGCCCATTTATGCAATTTATTGATGCAGGCAGAAGATTCCAGTGCATGTTTTGTAAAGCAACAACTGAGGGTACAAATTTATTTTCTTAATATTTTTTATTTGAAACAATTATTAGTTCTTTCTTGTTTTCAATTTAGTTCCAGCGGAGTATTTCCAACATCTAGATCATACTGGTCAACGTATGGACCGTTATGAAAGACCAGAATTAATGTTAGGAACATATGAATATATTGCTACTAAAGATTACTGCAGAGTAAGATATAGCTTAAAAACATTTTTATATAAAATTTTATATATTTTATAACATTTTTTCGATTATCTTAACGTTGAAATATTCATTTTAGAACAATACTTTTCCAAAACCACCAGCCATTGTGTTCGTGATCGATGTATCATACAACACAGTCAAATCTGGTTTAGTTAATTTACTATGTATGCAAATGAAGTCAATCTTGCGGCATTTACCTGTTGATGCTGGTCAATCGAAAACGAATATGAATGTAGGATTTATAACGTACAATAATACGGTGCATTTTTACAATATTAATTCTTGCCTTGCTCAACCACAAATGATGGTTGTGGGAGACGTACAAGATGTTTTTATGCCACTTCTTGATGGATTTTTATGCAATGTTGAAGAGAGCGAGTCTGTTATTGACGGTTTAATGACCCAAATACCAGCACTGTTTGCAGATACGCGCGAAACTGAAACAATTCTTGCACCAGCCATTCAAGCTGGATTAGAAGCATTAAAGGTATTTTTACAATATATGGTACAAAGTAAAACAATTATGAAATATATTAACTAACTATAACTTTAATGAAAAATTTTCAGGCTTCAGATTGCGCTGGAAAATTAATGGTTTTCCATTCTTCTTTGCCCATTGCTGAAGCACCTGGTAAATTGAAAAATCGTGACGACCGTAAAATTCTTGGAACAGAAAAAGAAAAAACTGTATTGGGTAAATCGATTTTATTAATTCAACATTAATATTATGACTAATTAAATAAACCAAAACGTTTCTTTTCAGCGCCACAAAATAACGTTTATAATAATCTAGGTCAAGATTGTGTAAGTGTGGGATGTTCTGTAGATTTGTTTGTTTTCAATAATTCATACGTGGACGTTGCGACAATAGGACAAATTGCCAGATTAACTGGCGGAGAGATTTATAAATATACTTATTTTCAGGTAATAATCGTTATATTAATTTAATATGTGCAAGTAACAGATATATACATATATTTTTTTAGGCTGATATAGATGGTGACCGCTTAATTTCGGATGTGATTAATAACATTAGTAGACCAATTGCATTTGATGCTATTATGCGCGTACGTACGTCTACAGGTGTTCGCGCAACTGATTTTTATGGTCACTTCTTTATGTCAAATACTACAGATATGGAATTAGCTAGTATAGATTGTAATAAGGTAAAGTTTTATTCTAGCTTCATTTTATATTTTTTACACATTTTAAGTATTATAAATATTTACATTTTTGCGCTGTAGGCTATTGCCATAGAAGTGAAACATGATGATAAACTAACAGATGATGAAGGTGTATATATTCAAGCAGCTTTGCTGTACACTTCCTGCAGCGGAATCAGAAGATTACGTATTATTAACCTTAGTTTAAAAACGTCGTCTCAAATGGCTGAATTATATCGGGCTTGTGACCTAGATGCTATTATAAATTACTTCTCTAAACAAAGTAAAATAAATCATTATTATGCCACAAAGATTCCAAACATATTGAGTGTTAGTTTATTAACCCGGGATTACCCACCTGGGGGTCTAGTGCAGGTACATCCCGGCACTAGACCCCCACGTGGGTAATCCTGGGTAAACTTGATTTTTATTTTAGGTGTGTTTAAACTAATTGAATCAACTCCAAAAACTGTGAAAGACAATTTAATTTCAAGATGTGCAAATATATTGGCTGCATATCGGAAACATTGTGCTTCTCCATCAAATGCTGGTCAATTAATATTGCCCGAATGTATGAAATTGCTCCCACTTTACATTAATTCGTTATTGAAAAGTGATGCATTATCTGGAGGTATATAATTTTGTTTCTAATTTCCTTACATTTCATAATATCATCAATATCACAAATTCAATTCTTCAGGTGCTGATATGACCATTGACGATAGATCTTACGTTATGCAAGCAGTTGCAACTATGCCAATTTCTATATCAGTTGTTTTTGTCTATCCGAGATTACTTCCTTTACACGATATTGATCCTCAAGATACAGAGTTACCACAAATGTTACGCTGCTCTATTGATAAATTCACCGATGATGGCGCGTACTTACTCGGTATGACTTTATTCATCAATCTTTTCATTAGTTTCCAATTTACAATTGTGCTAATTTTTGCTTAATATTTTTAGAAAATAGTATCCATATGTTCCTGTGGCTAGGTCTGGCACTTTCTCCACAATGGGTACAGGCAGTATTCGGTGTCCCATCAGTAGTTCAAGTTGACACAGACTGTACTGCACTGCCAGTATTAGATACTCCATTAAATAAACGAATTACTGATATCATTAATCGTGTACGTATGGAAAGGCATCGTTGTATGAGGGTAAGTAAATTAGAATTTATAAAATATACCAATATAAATATACGCTCATCATGTACCTATAAGCTCATATTTTATTAAATATTTTCAGTTAACTATAGTGAGGCAACGCGAGAAACTAGAAATGGTATTGCGCCATTTCTTGATCGAAGACAGAGAAAACGACGGAAGTCCAAGTTACGTTGATTTCCTTTGCCATATGCACAAAGAAATAAGAACACTTCTTAGCCAATAAAATAAATCTTAAAGAGCAATCAGTTACCTTATGTTGGAATCCTAGCTTGCTACATGTTTGTGACTGTTGTCATGTTATGTCCAGGATCAGTTAAATTATTAAAATGAAATTCATTCAAGGCTCAATGGGGATCATAGGTTTTGCGTGCATTTATACGCACTATGATTTAAAAAAAAAAAGTGAAGCAAAATTAACATATATTTCTAACATGGTACCTATAAAAAGGCAATGAAATCTTTAGAAAATAACTAATCATTCCGCGGAAAAGAATGGTGTAGTTAACATCATATGGAAACATTTGGGTGCACTCATACAGTGATTTATACATGAACTGTAAACGTAAACTTGTATTATTATTACATTTTATTTTAACTAGCTCATTAATGTTATTATTATGTTAAATTAAATAATAAAAATGTATTAAATCATTATAAATTTATATATTAAAACAATATCTTGTATTAATTGAATAGTATCGCATTGAGAGCTACGAATATGTTAATATTATTTTAATATATTATATTTTATAATTACAAGATATTTTATATTTGAGAATGCATGTAAAACAATTATGTAATATCATTTTTTATTATATTTTAATTTTCACTCTAAATATAGCGCTGTTGTGAGTTATGACTAATAAATATGTGCATTATTAATGCATTTAGTTTAATCATTGACTAAAGATAAAATAGACCTGATATTTAATGCATTTTGTGTTCTACGTTTTGGTGGTCACTTGATCCTCACACTGTCAAATGTAATATTATCGATTTACATTCGATAATATAACAATTTAAATGATTTGAATAAAAAATAAATTTATAATCATAAACAAAGTATAGAATTCTATTGCAATTGGTATTATAATTGATTATATTTTTAGTGTCTTTGGATTTTAATGCGTTTAATACGATATATCATCATACGATTATAATGAATATATTTTTGTTCATATATCATTACATTCTATAAATATTAAAAAACTTTTTGATATATTTTAAAATTATTCAAATTTACCTCTTATCATTCATCTTTTGTATTTATTTTTACATACATATAAATCCATTTAAGTAGTATGCATACCCGTGACACGTGTTGCAGCTAAGGTGTCAATGTTGGAGCAAAAAAATTGTATTTATATTTTTAATTTAATTTTTTGTGATAGATTTATATAATTTTAAACACAATATTACACAATACTGAATTACAAAATAATTATCATTATTTATAAATAGATTATTTATAAATAGAATATTCTTATATTCTTTATAGGTTATGTATAAATTATGTTTCAGTAACAAATTTTAACTAGTTAAAATATTAAAATATGTATTATATAAACGCTACATATAATAAATAAACGATTATTTATGTTCATTTTTATTTAATTTTATATTTTCTATTTGGTTTCAGAAATTTACAAAATGGCAAAACGAAAATTGAAATCTGATAACGAGTCTGCCTCAACAAATCAAGAAAAGTCATCAAAGAAAAATAAAATAGAAAATAACAATAATATAAAAGAAAATAAAGATAATAAATTTGAAATAAAAGGAACAACAAAGGAAAAATATGCAAAAATTTTGACTAAAAATGACAAAGAAAATCATAATATTAACAATATGAAGAAAAAATTAAAGATAGTAAGCAACAACTCTATGGAAAAACCAAATTGGCTAGAATTTAGGAAAGAGAAAAAAGAGCTTAAAAAAAAACGTTTAGCAAAACGTTTCAGTAATATTTATGATTTATCAATTGCAGCAAAGCAGCTTGGTGAGAAATTACGTAGGTCTGACTGTTCAAAACTAGAACGTAAAAAGCTAATTTTAAAGGCACATGATTTATTAATGACTAATTACAATAGAATAGTATTCACTCATGATATGTCCCGTATTGTTCAGTGGATCCTTAAGTATTGTGATGCAGAAATTCGGCAAGTTATTTTTGTAGAATTAAAACCTTCACTTTTATCTATGATTGAATCAAAATATGCAAAGAATTGCATAAAAACATTATTAAAATATGGATCTCAAGACATTAGGCAGGAAATTATTTCTTCTTGTTATGGTAATGTAGTAAAATTCATGAGTCATTCTGTGTCTGCACCATTATTGGAACTCATGTATTCAACATGGGCTACAGAAGTAGAGAAAAGATATTTCAAACAAGAATTTTATGGTGACATGTATAAACAGGCTAAAGATAAACAAATTAAGACTTTATCTGATGTATATATAACTGCAAAAGATATGAAAGCAGCAACATTATCTGCAGTAAAAGGAAATTTAATGAGGATATTAAATAAGAAATTTTTAAATTCCATTCTTGTACACTCTGTTCTTTTAGAATTCTTAAATAATTGTTCTGTTGAAGATAGAACAGAAATAATAACTATGTTGAAGAGTTCACTAGTAGAACTGTGTCAAACAAAATTTGGTTCAAAAGTTGCTGTATTATGTATATGGCATGGTACGAACAAGGATAGAAAAATCATTATAAAATCTCTTAAAGAAAATATAAAAAATATTTCAATGTCTGAACATGGATATTTGATATTATTAGCATTATTTGATTCAGTGGACGATACTGTTTTAATAAAAAAAATTATATTCCCAGAAATACAAGATGATCTAACAGATATAGCATTAAATGATTATGGAAAACATGTAATATTGTACTTAATAGCTAGAAGAAATTCTCATTACTTTGCTCCCAGCATAGTAAAATATTTGGAGCAAGGAGACAACAATGCAACAAGCAAAAAGTCAAGTCAAGTAAGAGAAAAAGAACTTTTAGATTCAATATCTGATTCACTTCTTCAATCTGTAATTACAAACACCCCAATTTGGATGACCAACGGTTCTATTGCAATGGTAACGTTGGCAATATTGAAAATAGGTACTGGAGAAAAATTAGAAAAAGCTTTTGAAGCTATTGTTATGTTTATCACAAACTCAAAATCAAAAATTAAAGAAGGAGATAAAGAATATAAACCGATTGAACATACCGGTTTACATATGATGTTAAAAAAACTTATACAGAATGACAAAGAGTTACAAGAGAAGAATAAAAATACATTTGGAAAAATATTAATTGATCATTTAGAAACAAATATTATAGAGGAATGGATAGAATGTAATAGAGGATGCTTTCTATTAGTATTATTATTAGAAAATGAAACTCTATCTATTGTAAATACTATAGTTTCTAAATTGAAACCAATGAAAAATATTTTGAAGTTAAAATCAAATCCGGGTGCCAAAATTTTGTTAAAAAAATTAAAATAGACAAATTATTTACTTAAATAAATAAGTAACAAAAATTGTATTGAATTATGAAAATAAAAATTATAAACTCTAAATCATGTTTCATTAAATGTTAGGTAAGAATATATTGTAACTAATTAATAATATTTAGTTACTCCATTTTATTTATAACATAAATACTTATAATTCTTTCTCTAAAAATTCTATAAAGTTAAATTTTAGGAATTATTTCTTTTTTTATCTTTCAAATTTGTTAACATATATAAATAATTGATAACATGTAAATAATATGAATTAAAATGTAATATATAAGTAGTATTTGTGATTATTTTATACTTATCTATACATATGCAAAAGTCAACACAAATCTTATCAATTTAGAAAATTATTGAACAAAAAAGACTTCTTAGTATTATTAATGATACAAATATTTGTAAATATACATTACAGACAAACATACTTTTTTTGTTCCTTACAACAAATATGAAAGATTAGAAGTAATAAAAAGTATTGATTAAATTATGTATTACTATGCAATTGTATATTTGTAATAAGTGTTATTAAATAAACATGTATTAGCAGACATTATATATTTTCATTATCATTGTTTCGAAGTGTCTGAAGATGAAGTTACTATTTAGGCATATGCAGCAACATTGATTAAAAAGTACTAAAATTAATTATTGTTTTCATATTTTCAGCATTTCTTTAATATCGATGATTCTAGTTCGAATTTCTGGCTCAGTATCTTTCAATAACTCTGGTAATATTTCTTGAATTATTAAAATCATTTTATCAAATTGTTCATCATTTTTAGTAAATCGTAACTTTTTGCCAAGAGATAGAGCTATATTTAAGGCTTCTTTCCTTATTCTAGTGTATGAAATACCTAAAAATATAAAGTTCATATTAATTATTGTTCATGTAATTATATATAAAATATAATTACAATTATAGACATACAATATATTTACCTATACTATGTTTTAATATTTTATTAAACGTGTCACAAATCAAATTTAACGTTCCTCTTTCTTCAACTGACAATTCCGAAATATTTATTGTAAGTAAGGCGAGTTTATCCACAAATAAATTAAGCGCTGATAACATTGATATTTGTATTGTTGTAGGTTGAATAGGAAACATCATATCGTAATGAGTTATAAATTCTATACAATATTTGTCTAATTCAAAGGAGATTAAATAGTGTGAAAAAATTAATTAATAATTCATATTTTTATATTTAATGATTTTCAAATACAATAATGTTAATAACTCACCTTGAGTATCTTTAGATGATGGCCAAGCTTTTCCAAGTATTTCATAAATGGTTTCATATAATTTTATGATTTCATCTCTTTTTATTCTTTCTTCAGACGCTAAAGATTCATCTTCATCTTTTTTTGATAGCTACATGATAATACTTAAAATGTAAAAATTAACCGTATTTATTATTTTTATTGATAGTACATACCATTGATAAAATTTCTTGAACAATTTCATATACTTCTTTAAATTTATCAATATCCAGTTCATGCAGGATTGTTCCAAAAGCACGTAAAGCTTGTCGGCGATATTCTAAAGCTTCTTTCTTACTTTCCCTATGTAATATTTGTATTAGATCCGTAGATAAGTCATTATTTTCTTTGAAAGCTGTCCTATTAGATTATTAAAGATTAGATAACTGTTCTATTAAATACTAAAAATTAATTATAAAATTTTTAAAAGCAAACAACAAATTGAATACATTTAATAAAAAAACATAATTTGAATATGTTTAATAAAAAAAGTATTAATATTTTTACATGCATACTTGCTATTACATGCCAGCGTAGCGAGAGCATTTAACAAACGATCTTTCCCATCCCAAGTTCTCCCGCGTAGTCCATCTGTTAACACCTTTAACAAAGTATTTCTGACAACTGTATCAATGTCGCTACCTAATTTTTGTGCTAACGTATGAACTGCATTAGCTGCTTGCGCTTTCGTATTCCATGATGATGATTCTAATGAAACGCGTAAAATATTTGTTATTGGTTCTATATTTTGTTTGATCCCTGCTTCTGTCCCTGGAGTTATTTCATTCCATAGTTCGGTCCACAAATCGATCATACTTTCATTTTCTATGAAAATACTGTAAATAAATACCATGATATTTACAAATTTAATTTCAAAATTAAGTACGAACCTTGTGTTTTTTGTGCATGCATTGCAAAGAAAGTAAGAGGTATAACGATATTCGAATAATTCTTTAATACCTCCTGATTATAATTATTTATAGCTTGGAATGTTTGTCCAATTGCTAATTTGGTTGAATCATCTAAAATTAAGAATTTAATAAAATTTTATCTTTCCTCTGTGAGTTCTATAAGTTTTATAATCTTTAAAATTATTACATAATGCACACCTTGTTCCATGTACCATGTGTTAAGTGTTTTAAATAACTTTTCAAGACTTGATTCCTTCGCTGATCCAACTATGTGTCCAATAGCGACTGCATTATGTTTTCTAACAATAGAATTACGATCCAATAACCCGTTCATTAGTGCATTTAAAACTTTACCTACATAGATATTAAATTGTAATAATTTTTTAGACATCATTTCTTATACTGAAAAGTCAGAAGTTGAGATATCTTTCTTTTTTTTCTTTACTAACCACTATAAGGTTGTAATTCCTGTTTGAAGTGAGTACTCAAAAGGACGATAAAATGCAAACATGTAATTTTTGTTCCAAAACCGATACTAGATTTTATTAATTCTATCACTTTTGGCATTAATTCCTTCAAAATCTCTGCATCAATGTATTGTATGCACTACATTAAAAGAAAATATTAATAATTTAAAGTGTAGTATTAAAGTTATCTTGGTATATTAAATCACTCACTTTCGTCATTGTTTCAGTAGCATAATGCTCCTTGGCAGCGCCAGCTCTAATAGTATCAATGGCATCTCGTGCTTCTGACATTGTTCCACAGACATTACTCAAATATGATAAATTTGGATTTTCTGATTCGCCAATTGCACTTAAGAGAGCAGGAATTAGTGTAACTAAAGATGGCTTAAGCAAAATACCTGCTCTTAAAACTAATTGAGATACTGTTTGCAAAGATATTGTTCTTACGTTGCTTACAACGTTAACGATTCCGATATTTAATAATACAGGCAAAATTGCTTGTAAAACTTCTTCTCCTTCTTTACCATAGGAAGAATCACAATATCGGACACAAACCTGTATTAATAAGTTAATATAAGAAATAAATAATATATGTTTCATGCATAGGATAAACAAATAACTTCAATATAAAACTTACCCTACTTAATGCTTTAGTCGTACTTATAGCAGCTAATCGAGTACCTTCGTGAATATCATCCATTACTCGAAATAATTTTTTCAACAATTCTGGAGCACATTTTGCCAAATTTAAACGAACATTTATTCTTAGTAAATCTGCAAGTGCATTGCAACAACTAATTCGTACTCTCCATTCATGATTTGTTAAATTTTCAGTTATATCATTCAGAATTTCTTTATGATATTGTTCAACCTATTAAATGTAATTGAGGAATTATTTGAAAAAGATGTATCTGTTAAAATTGAGAAGCTTTTCAAATTATGGACATTTTTCGAAATATGCCCTTTTTCCATTTTTATCATATTTTTATAATTTACAGACCTCCTGTTCCTTATTATACATTACTGCAATATACTTTTATATTGCAGATAATTCTACTGCAGTAATTCATTTAAATGTTAAAAAATTAAAAAGAAACGTTTGTAATTCGAAGTGCTCCAAAATTTTAAATGACAATTGTAGAATAAATAACAATATAGGAGTGTATGTATAAGATATATTCGAAATTATAGACACCTATTGGATTGAAAGAAGTAATCAGATTAAAACAGGTGAAGATCTAAAAAATTTTTCGTTTATATAATTATACAAATATACAAATTTTCGAGATCCAATTTTGAGAAAAATATTTGTAATTTTGGGTACATGCACATTTCTAATTTTAAGTAAAATATTTTTACGTACAGCTTTAGTTGTTGATGGAACGATGGCACGCCAAATACTAGACATGCTATGCTGAATCTTAGGAGTAGGATCAAATTGATATCTATATAAGCGTGGAATTATATTGGGTAAGTATTTATTTAACTCGTCATTTGCAACTTTAGCAATTGCTGCAAATCCAAATGCAGCACCTTTTTTAGATGTCCATACTGCATTATGATTTGCTAGATGCATGAAGTAATATACTAAATCAGGTTTTTGTAATTCTGTAGCCAAAGAACAAATTTCTCTGTACGTCGATAAATTACCACTATAAATGAAATATTATTTATGAAATTAAACTAAATTTAATTGAAAATATAATAATATATCTAAATTTATAAACTTATTTTACTTTGTTGGAGATTTTCCTAATTGACCTTCTTCAAATAATTTTGTATCTGATGTAACTTGTGGTACACTTTTACGTCCTTGTGTAAATTGATGTAATATGCTAGAAACTAGAAGTTCCTTTTGTTGCTGGCTACTATTAATATGTATCAGACTGAGTCCTTTTGCTGCCATATCTTGCACTATATCTGTAATTGAAGTAATACACTTTAATAATTTATTTCTATTCTTTTTTTTCTAAGTAAGAAATATATTGTATAACTTACCACTATCATCTGAAAGAAAATCCATAAATGCATGATGCAATGACGAAAATTTTTCTTTAATACACTCCCTTTCGATATTATATTTTAGAAGTGCTAATAACCACACACAGACGGCCTTATAACAAATATATGTAATAAAAAAAATGAAGGAACTGTAATTTTAAATATAATATCAAATAAATACCTGTCTCAAATTAGGATGCGGATCTTTATACATCCGAAGTAATTCATTCAATGTTTGTATTAATAATTCTGTACTAGTATTACTATAAGGTATTTTATGTTCAGTTGGTAATGTTGTCCAGGCATCTCGTTTTTCTGGAGATGCTTCACCTTGAACACAACAAACCAATGCTTCTCCCATAATCAAGTGGATCTCGATGTCTTTTGTCTAATGAATATAAAAGTAAATTTGAAGTGTACTTTTAAAGTCTACAATTATAATTTTAGATTTACCTCCTTGACAGTTGCAATTATTTTATTCACTATGTATGATGTATGAGGAAAATTCTCTCCTACACACAAATAACCTAACGAAAGTGCAGCTTTTTCTTTAATCTAGAAATATAATTAAATTCATATCATATTCAATATAAACTCAATAAATTTAATAATTATTAAACAACGACAAACCTTAGTGTTTAATTTTACATTATTTAATGTTGAAAATAATATTTCTACAATTGCTTTTTTATTTGTTTCTCCTTCCCCTTCATCAGGTAATGGTAACCCACATGTTTTCCCCAAAATACCAATACTTTGAATTGCAGCGTCCATTAATAAAACCGTATTATTCCGAAGAAAATTGCCTACAGTAATATTTTTGAAATAAAATTAAAAGATAAATTAATATTAATTTATATATATCTAAATATATACATACATATCATTTTTACAACATTAATGTAAAGATCCCAGTTAAAAAGATCATTGTTCATGTCATTTCTTTTAAAAATTAGTCTTCTTTCCATCATAAATGTTAAAGTTAACAATGATCCATGTTGGGCTTCTAAAGAATTTTTATCCATGATGCTCATAATTTCAGAAACTTGAGCTTCAAATTCACTATTAGGAAGTTGAGTAGTTATTATACCATAAATTTTAGCAACCAGTTGTCTTACATCCAACTTTGTAGATATAAGCAAAGTACGAAGCCATGATAACTCATTTTCATAAATTCTTGTTGCAAATTGTGGAACAGAACCAATCACTTCCAATAAAGCTTGTAATGAAGTTTGATCTGCATTATATAATTATTTACATATTAGATATTTTAATGTAATTCTTGATATATTTTTAAGTTTCTAAACAATATTACATGCAATTTTACCTGCAGAAGCATGACTAAAAATTAAAATCATATCAAGGTAATGATTTAATGTCTCTAGTTCATCTTTACATAAATTTTTTAAATAATATGTAATTAATGGCGTATATTCACAAGGCAGTAATGATCCACTGTATTTAGGACTATTAGCACTTCTTGCTAAACACATACGGAGGTAAGTAATTATCTGTAAAAAGAAAACAATCTTTTCTCTGAAAATTCCTATTTGCAACAAATCAATTCTCAACTGAATTAATTACCTCTATAAATACAGTGATACTGTAAGGAAGTACTTTATTTTCTATATTCATTTTTTCATTACCACCAGTTGACATCCTTGCTTGCATCTTTGAATAAATATAAGTAACTAGTTTTTGAAAATCTGGTAAAGAAACTTGATTACATTTTTGCTCATCATGTTCATTCTTGTGCGTAGTGCTATATAAAACTTTTATAGCTTCTGTTTTTATTTCATATTTATCATCTCCAGACGCCAATAATAAAAGGTAACGAGAAGGTATATCGTCAGGAGGAAATACATTAGCAGCATAGTGCATTGCCACAAATCTGTTCTCAAAACATAAATAACATAAATATTATTCTTAGCTATACATATTGCTTAATCAATATTTTATCCATACCTAACATTAGATTTCGGTGATTCAATATACGTAGATAATAATCCATTCATCAAAGATATGTTAACTTCATCATCTTTATTAAGTACAAATGCAGATGTTATTGAAATCAGCGTATCTCTTACTGTTCTTCGTAAATCACCATCGGTCTTAAACAGGAAAAGTTCAACTCAAAAAAGAAACATTCTAGTAATGTAACATATATCTGGAATTTCTACATATTTTAATGCTAATTACATACCGATACAAGTGTATCAAATAAATGACATAACAAGTTTGAGTTTTTATCTATTACTGATGGAATTCTTTGTCCTAATTGTCCAATAACAGTATATGCCATCATTTTATGGTGAATATCTTCACCCTCAAAAATTAATTTTATCATACCATTTAAAATAATTCCTGCTATACGAGATAATGGTGCAAGGCTACACCTTAAAACATATCGATATATATGTCATAAACATATTGAAATTCATATGTTTAAAATTCAAATGAATAACACATCATACTCACTGTTGCACAATATTAGATGTAAATTGCAAAGCCATTGACTTTAACTTTGCATTTGTAGTTTTTCCATCACCTTCTTGCAAGGAATGAAAAACTACCTGTATATTAATTATAATTATATTAAATAGTATAAATTATAGTATAAAATAATGAAACATACCTGAATACATGGTGGTATAATAAAACCGGCTTTAGTAACACGGCAAAGATAATGTAATAATTTTAGACGAATTCGTATTCCTGCAGGCAATCTTTTCATTTCTGGCTTAACTTCTTTTTGAATACCTAAAGTATCAGTACCCAAAAATAATGTATAAAGTGGCGCTGCCAAATGCATCGAAGACCAATCTAATGTGCTGAATATTTTAAAACAATTTCGTATTTAGCATATTACAATATTATAGCTAATACAATATTTATAAAACATTAAAAAATATTTTTTGAACATACTTAACAATTTTTTTCAATTCCAAATCTGCTAGATTAGCAACACTAAATCTAGTATCTGCAGCAGCTACTATCAAATGTATAAGAATATCTGAATCAGGAAAAAATCCTCCAGCTAAGAATTTTACAATTCCTAATTTTGTTTGTTCAAGTTGCTCTGCTGTTGGTGGATTTTCACCAATCACTCGTTTAAATGCATATTCACTTAATCCTAGAGGTACACGAAATCTCGACCAATCAATAACCTGATCTGACTGTTGATTTTGTATTTGTCCTACAGATCTAAAATAATAAATCATACATTATAATCATAAGACTAGCAAAATATAGATTCTTTGATGAATAATCTTACCCATAAGGTAACAATAAGACATCAAGCATAAAATTAAGTAACTGTTTTGATACATATGGCTTGTCTTGCAAACCAAGGAAAGATGTTCGTTTGTCTGGATCAGCAGGAATATTAACATGCCCCAATGCTGGCATAATTATAAGTAATAGACTGAAATATTTCAGAATTTATTATTATAAATTATGTTTATTAATAATAATTTTCATCATTGTAAATTAGGTATTTACAAACCTGTCTTGATGTGATAGAGGTTTTCCTTCAATAGCATTTAATACACTTGGAATTAACTCAGCTTGTTTTTGCACTTTCATTCTAGGATATCCTAATTTTATATATATAATTGTAAAATTCTGTAAACAAATAAAAATAAATAAATTCTTGTCCTATCAGAAATATCTTAAATTGATTATTTGCACTGACAACATACAATTACAAACGAGCTGGCAGCTGGATCTTGATATTGCAGTAAAAGCGTTTCAATTGGCAATTGAACTTGCGGTCTACTCTTTATTCTTTTATTTATATGAATTAATAACTCCATTACTTTCTTTCTGACACCTTCTTGAGCACTAGAAAGTTTCAATAAAACTGGTGGCAAGAATTTACATACTGATGCTTGTAATTGTTCATCAGTATCTGCAGATCCCAAACGGAAAAATACTCGCTCAAGCAAAACTTCCATGAAAAAATAAATTACACATATAACAATTAATTTGTAAATATGAAATTATACCGAATAAATCAGTTGTATAGTATTTTTCATAACATTAAATATCGTTTACTCAAAATAAAACTAAAAATAATTATTCGTTATATGTTTAAGAAATACAATATTTTATTATAAAATAATCATCTTATAAATTTTAAATCATCCAAAAACAATCTGCAATGCTTGAGACTTTATGATAAAAGAAGTAATTGTGTGAATGTTAACATAGAAATTTAGCTGATAAGAGGAAAATAATTCTATGTACATTATTTAACATCAATCATTCAATTAAGATGCGAATATATACGAAAAATGAAGCAAAAAACAGACAGAAAAATTTAAAAAATTGTCTCTTCAGATAAATTTAAATGTAAATTGAAATATGCATAATATAATTATTTTCTACAATTCTACAAAACGGCATAATAATTAACTCGTTTTACAAGTCATGATGCATTTAAAAATATTGTTATCATTAGAAATAATATTTTTATTAAATGAAAAACGGTATAATTAACAATATTATTTGTGTCATCGTCAAAATAAACTATCATCATATAAAATAAATTGATTTTTTTTCCAAATTACTTACTCAGCTCATCCGTAGGGGCTGCCATTTTGAAATAATGTGCAAAAGAGAAAGCGAATGACTGTCAGTGACAAGAAATATTACCGGTCTGTAATTAATCTTATTACAAAAATATTATTTTATTTAAAAATTTATACATTTAAATAATGTGTTTCTTTTCGGTTGCACATCTCTATGGTGCATGTCTCTAAAATTCCCATTTTTTGTATATTTTTTGTAATATTGAGAACAAAATTCGAATAATTTATTGGAAAAGAAGTTTATTAGAACTATTGAAAAATAGTTCATACATTAATAATAAAAATATTTTTAGAAACCTTTTTCTTAAACAATGTATAATTATCTATCACTGTCCATATAGCTATCTTAACCTATTTAACAAAAAAAAAGAAAAGGATATATGTATGTATAATGTATTATCTTTTAATATTTCTTCTTATTTCTTCAAATATCTCTATCGAAATTCTATGATATGCAATGCAATCTACGATTTGAAATGCAATCACAATTCTAATTTGGAATATTTTTCATTTGTGCATAAATAAAAAATATTCCAAATTTCAATTTAGAAATCACATAATACATAAAATTAGTCTTACAGATAAATTTTTATTAAATATATGAAATCAGGTAAATTTATAATAATAAATTCACGTACAACAATATTAATATTTTCTTTTCTAAAAGAAAAATATTTAAAATTTCAATATGAAGTTGTCGTGAATGATTACCCAATCAACGTTTCGAATTTCTACAACCTGTCGTCTGCTTCTTTCGTCCCTTTAACTTAAACCATGTTCTCATTTCGTGACCTTCATAGTTGTCTTTATAAAATAGAGGTCAAATTCGAACGTAGCATATTATTCTTAATAAATATTAACATGTTATATAGTAAATTACATTAAATTACTTTCATAAAGAAATTCGTTTAAATCTGTTTTGCGTTTTATCAGTCTGTGTTATATTGTTTCGTATACATTTGATTTCCTTGCTATTTTTAAATGAAAGTATAATATTTTAGTTTTTAATACGCAGAACAATCAGGTATGGAAAGAAAACATGAAAATTTTAAAAGAAAATGGTAATGTGTTTTTTAAGAGTTTGTACAATTTTCTATTGCATGTTCTAATTGTACAGAGAAAGCTATTAATTGTGATTTTATTTGTCTTAATTAACCCATTGTATACATGTAACGAGTTTTATATATATATATATATAGATACGTATACGTTTAAATTCTAATGGACATAGTTCTGTCATAGTTCTTAATATGTTTGTACATCATTTGTAACTTTTATAAGAAACTTAATTGAAGTAATTAATGATTCAATTTCAATCTCTGTTATAATTTTTTAATATTGTAAAAAAATATGTATTTACTTTACATGTATCTTGAACCATATATGTATTATGTATTTCTGAATAATCAAATAAAATAGGTTTTTAATTATATAATCTTATTTTAATATATAAAACAATAATTTTGTAATTAATATAATTAGATAATTATTTTCACTTATATTTAATGTAAAAATTGATTATAATTTTGATTGTATTAAAAGCAGTATTAATAACAGCTTTTATACTTAAGGTTTTTTTTTTATATTTGTTATAGGTAATACAAATGTGATATTTGTTTAAATAAAAGCAACAATACATAACATTAATGCTGTGATAATACAGAGCTAGTTGAGAAAGGTCTTTAATAACAATTTCAGCTATATGATCTATTTTGAGAATGGGTTTTATACTTGCAATAGGCAATTTTTTTTGTGATGCAACAAGGATATTAATAAGGAAACTTAGGACCATTCTTCAACATCTTTGCAAATGCAGCTATTTAAAATGCCTTTGTTATGTAAGTCTAGATATGATGATAATATGTCATTTTTATCTTTAAAATGATAAGGATATCATTACTAAATTTGATTGCAATTGATAATATACCATTGTAATGTCTTTGTAACATTTATAATATAATCTAATATACCTATGTAACAGTCTAATCAAAGGAGGTATCTTATGTACAGTGTTAAACATGATATATAAAATGATTTATATTTCAGGCTAATATTTTAGTGTTAAAATAATGCTAAACTATTTGGAATAATAATGTCTGTGTTAAATTTATCAGAAAAGTAGTAATAGTAAATAAATAGAAAATAGTGATATAGACAATTGATGTTATATGGTACAAAGTCTACCCTGTTTATATTATTACAAAGAGGTAATCCAAGCATGTAGAATGAGAATGTCTCTGGGCTTTATGCATGTTCATGCAGCATAACTTTGTAATCTAATATCATACTTTTTGCACGCTTGCTAACTGCTTTGTGCTGATAACTTATATTAAGGGAATTGTGGGCTTAGTATTTATTCATGTACCACACTTCACGTGTAAGTACTACTATCCTAAGATTTTCCTCTTAAAAGTACTATAGACATTTTATTAATTCAATACTTATATTTTCTTTGGTAGCTAAATGTTCATAAATATTTATTTTAAATATACTTTTTATTATTTAATTTCTTTTTTCAGAAGTACAGAAAATGTTTATAACTATTTTAAAAAAATGTATTAATGTAAAAACTAAGAGTTGTGCATATCATGAATAATTAAAGAATAATACAAAAAATTGATATTGTATTACAAAATAAGTATTTGTGTGTTTAGGCAGTGGTAGGGAATATGACAGAACACGTGTCAATAACTGAAAGTCACGAATGTGAACAAATAAGAGTTTTAACTCTAAATAATGGAGAACATCTTGATGGTATATTATATAAATTAAAAAAAGGTATGTAAATTCTGTGTTGTTTATTATTTTTTTAGTTTGAGCAATCTCTAAGTTAAAACAATTCTTAACAGGATGGAGAGTAGAATTTCGTTTAGGTGCTTCTCTTCTTGGGAAGACACTTGATCTTTTCATAAATTATCCTTTAGGAGAAAATAAAAAATTTGATAGACATACATATTATCCATTAGAATGGGTTAATGAGACAGCTAATATATGTTTATTTCTGGCTGGTTCATTTCACTATTATCTTATAGATCCTAAGTAAGTTTTATTAAACATAAAAAAGTTATTGTTATAAAAAGATATGTCCATAATTTTAAATATATCAACTTTTTCAGTTCTGAATGTATGAAACCTATTGCTTCTGGGTACCTATTGGTGGATCCAGAACTTAAAATAGGAGAACATGGTGATGATTTACCATTGGATTGTATTCAATGTCAAACTGTTCTTGCAAAATGTTTAGGACCATTTTCTACCTGGGAAGATAAATTATTAGTGGCTAAAAACTCTGGATATAATGTGATTCATTTTACTCCAATTCAAGAATTAGGATTTTCTAAATCATCATATAGTCTTAGTGACCAATTAAAATTAAATCCTTCTTTTAATGATGGTGATAAATTAATAACATATGATGATGTTGAAGGACTGATAAATAAAATACGCAATGAATGGAATGTAAGTGTATATATATATAAAATTTTATATGTAATTTAATTTATTATAATATTCTATAATATCTTCCTAAATGTTATATGTTTCAGATGCTAATCATATGCGATATTGTTTTGAATCATACAGCAAATGAAAGTTCTTTTTTGATATCTCATCCAGAATGTACATACAATTGTTTGAATAGTCCTCATTTACGTCCTGCATATATTTTGGATGCTGCATTGTTTGAATTGACAGTACAAGTCGCAGCTGGAGAATGGGAGTTTAAAGGTATTCCTCCAATAGTTGAAACTGAAGAACACTTAAATGTAAGATAAATTCATTATATTACTATTCAATAACAAGTGCAGTATATTATATACATATGTATATTTATTACTTCTCCATTTTTAGTCAATTCGTCATGCATTACATACATATTTTTTACCGCTTGTAAAAATACATGAATTGTATGTATTGGATATTAATGAAACCATTGCTGAATTTTTGAATTTGGCACGAAATCAAATGCCTCAAGATAACATTGAACCAATATCGGACGATATCAAAATAATAAAAGATCCGAAATTTCATAGATTGAAAGCAACTATAAATATGCAACTTGCTTTGCAGAAATATAATATATATAGGTAAATTATATATCAGAATATTAAAGTTTTACTTTAATAAGATTTGATTTACATAGTTAATACTTATTATATTTTTATTTAAGAGCCGATTGTTTTGACGAAGATACTCGTTTAAAACGTTGTGCTGAAGACTTAAGAAAAAAATTACAGGAACTTAATAATGTAATCATTAACGAAGTACAAAATCATCTGAATGCTGCAGTTGAGAATTCCATTGCCGGTATACGATATTTTAGAGTACAAGCTGATGGACCTAAACTTAAAGAAATAAGTGAAAGAAATCCACTTGTTCCTAGGTACATAACTATCGTAAAAAATTATTATATTTTGATATTATTTATGCATAAATTACCTTCAGGTATTTTACTGATTACGGAGCATCTCAAACATTAACTGAAAGAGAAGCTACAATGTATTCAGACACAAGCTGCTACCTTATGGCTCATAACGGATGGGTAATGAATGGAGATCCTCTAAAAAATTTTGCTGATCCTGATTCTAATGTTTACATCAGAAGAGAACTGATTGCTTGGGGTGATAGTGTAAAATTAAGGTAATGCAACTGCTTTTAAAATATATTATAGTACATGTAGTTGCAATCAATAACATATGTTTTCTACAGGTATGGAAATAAACCAGAAGATTGTCCTTTTTTATGGCAGCATATTACTACTTATGTTGAACAAACGGCTAAAATTTTTGATGGTATTCGCTTAGACAATTGTCATTCAACCCCTATTCCAGTTGCAGAGGTGTATATATTGTTAAAGTATTAAGAAATGAAAATTTATATTATTCGTATTATAATGAATTTTTAATCTTTCTAGTACATGCTTGATGTTGCACGTCGAGTCCGTCCAGATTTGTACGTTGTTGCCGAATTATTTACAAATTCCGATCAAAAAGATAACATATTTGTCAATCGACTTGGTATCACATCTTTGATTCGAGGTATGCAGATTTATTTTAAGTGATGATATTTTATAAAAATATCTATTTAACTATATGAAATATATAATATACTTACAATTAATTATAAATTATTATTAAATCCTGTTAAATCTTTCTCTTTTTCTCAAATTAGAAGCTATGTCTGCATGGGATAGTCATGAAGAAGGTCGATTAGTATACCGATATGGAGGCGAACCAGTCGGTGCATTTTTGCAACCACGTAAACGGCCTTTAGTACCGAGCATAGCACATGCATTGTTCCTAGATTTAACTCATGATAATCCTAGTCCTGTAGAAAAGCGTAGCGTGTTCGATTTACTTCCAAGTGCTGCTCTTGTATCAATGGCTGCATGTGCTAGCGGCAGCAATCATGGATACGATGAATTAGTTCCTCATCATGTAAGTAATAAGGAAAAAATAAATAAAATTGATTTACTAATCTTAGCCAATCCTTACAGATACATGTTGTAGATGAAACAAGACAATATTCATCCTGGACAGATGATGAATCGTTGGTGGATGGAATTAAATTTGTAGGTTTAAAAACTGGTATAATAGCGGCGAAGAAAGCATTAAATGATTTGCATTATACTCTCGGGCAAGAGAAGTTTTCCCAAGTATATTTTCATAATGCGTAGTAGAGGTGTTACCTTTGTACAAATTTTTAAATATTTATTAAAATTATAGGTATTTGTTGACCAAATGGACAGTGATATAGTAGCTGTAACAAGACATTCTCCAACAACTCACGATAGTGTAATTTTAGTTGCTTTTACAGCATTCAAACATCCCGATCCTAATGCAAATGATTTGAGAAGACATGTGAAACCATTGCGAGTGGAAGGTGTAATAGAAGAAATTATTTTTGAGGCATCTTTATCTCATATAGAAACTAAGTAATAAATACGAAAAATCAATAATTATAATTTTTCATAGTCCTTATTGATGTTTTATTGAAATATTGTTTTTAGGAACGGTACATCACGCTTCCACTATCCTGAAAAATATGTACAAGATGAAAATTACATAAATGGTCTCTCAGAATATGTTGTAAACCTTAAAGAACATATACAAATTTGTGATTCAGAAATCTTTGAAAAAGTTGATTCTGGCGACCCTAAAATAACTCAGCTTAATTTTGTAAACTTTCAGCCTGGTTCTATTGTTGCTATTCGGTAATATTTAATTACGTTTTTTATATAATTTTTTCATATAAACTTTATATTATATATACATATTAATATGTTCAATTTCAGTGTATCCCTTCATGCTAATACAAAACCTGCTCTTGCAAAACTTCATAATATTATTTCAATAATAACATCGCAGAAAAGTTCTGACATACGTGTTATTGCCTCTCGTATGGATTTAGTAGATTTAAATAAGGTTTTATATCGATGCGATCAAGAAGAACGTGATGAAACTTCAAATAGATTTGGTGTATATGACATTCCTGGATATGGGCCGCTTGTTTATGCAGGATTACAAGGTAACTTAATAATTTGATATACTTCATATATTATAGTTTTATATTTATTTAAGTAATATACATTGCATTTTTTTCAGGTATAATTTCGTTGTTGGCGGATATTCGTCCTAACAATGATTTGGGTCATCCAATGTGCATTAATCTCAGACAGGGTAATTGGCTAATAGGTATGTACTAGAAAGAAATATTGAAACCAATCCATTTTAATATTAACATGATTATATTTCATTCTATAATTAATGAATCTTAACATCTTTAAACAAATACACAGATTATACTTGGCAACGACTAAAAGAAGATGATGGAACTAAAACTCTTGGAGAATGGCTTGAAGAAGTTACTGAACCATTTAAATTAATACCACGCTATCTCGTTCCTAGTTATTTCGATGTTATAATCGTAAACGTTTATATGATACTTCTTGAACAATGCTATAATCTAATGTCAAGGTACTTAATATTTAAAAATCTTTAAAAGTTTTTATTTTTTTTTTTGTTATAAACATTTACTAATTCATTATAACTCATTAGTTTTGTGAAAGATGGTTCCACTTTCGTAAAAATTCTATCTCTGGTTTCAATTCAAATGGGAGGTATAGTAAAATCAGCTCCATTACCGGATTTGTCTCCAAATGTAGATCCTCCTAAACCAAAGATTAAACAATATAATGGCGAAAGTGAACAAATATGTATGACGTTGTCTGCTGGTTTACCACATTTTACCACAGGATATATGAGAAATTGGGGAAGAGATACGTTCATTGCTTTAAGAGGATTATTAATATTAACAGGAAGACATGCAGAAGCACGATTTATTATTCTCGGTTATGCTGGAACTTTGCGACATGGTCTTATACCAAATTTACTTGATAAAGGAAAAAATGCTAGGTAAAAAATGAATTTCTAATTATTATTGTATAAATGCAAATTTCTAATTATTGTTGTACGTTTTGAATAATTATGTATTTTAGATATAACTGTCGAGATGCTTTGTGGTGGTGGTTGTATACAATTCAATGTTACATACAAGAAATACCAAATGGTTTAAAAATTTTAACAGACAAAGTTTCGAGACTATTTCCAACTGATGATTCTCCCGCATTACCTGCAGGACAAGTAGTACGTGAAAAATATTCTTTGTTAATAAATTACATATATTAACATATTTACATATGGTATATATTACAAAAAAAATTCCAGGATCAGCCGTTGCACGATGTTATTCAAGAAACTCTTATGGTACATTTCCAAGGACTTTGTTTTAGAGAAAGAAATGCTGGAAAACAAATTGATGAACATATGACAGATCGTGGTTTTAATAACCAAATTGGAGTACACCCAGAAACAGGATTCATATTTGGTGGAAATGACGCAAATTGTGGCACTTGGATGGATAAAATGGGTTCTTCTGAAAAAGCTGGTAACAAAGGAAAACCAGCTACTCCAAGGGATGGTTCAGCTGTAGAGATAGTGGGACTAAGCAAGAGTATTCTCAGCTTTTTGGCTGAATTATATAAGCAAAATCTTTTTCCTTATGGCAGTGTGCAAAGAAAAAATCGTGATGGTAAGAAATAAATTTCATTTACATTTTTCTATTTATTTCCAATCTTTGTTCGTTACAATGTTTATTGTAGGCTCTGTTATAACATGGAGCTATAAACAATGGGCAGATAAAATTTCATTGAATTTTGAAAAATATTTTTACGTCAACGAAGTATCATCAGAAGGAGAATTAAAACCAGAGCTTATTCACCGCCGTGGAATTTTCAAAGATAGTCATGGAGCAACACAAGCATGGGCTGATTATCAATTACGACCTAATTTCCCAATCGCAATGGTTGTCGTAAGTATATTTTTATAATTTATTTATTTTTGAAATGTATGCGCATGAATTGAAATTAAAATAAAATAATATTAAAATACCATTATTTTAAAAGGCTCCAGAGTTATTTAATCCGGAACATGCGTGGACAGCATTAAAAAAGACAGAAGAAATTTTATTAGGACCACTTGGAATGAAAACATTAGATCCTGCTGATTGGGCATATAATGGATATTACGATAATTCTAATGATAGTGGAGATACTAAATTAGCACATGGTTGGAATTATCATCAGGGGCCTGTAAGCAATACTTCTTAGTACATTAATTTAATATAAAATACTCTAGTGCAAAACTAACATAATTTCATGGCATCAAATAGGAATGGGTTTGGCCCATTGGTTATTTCCTTCGCGCTCGACTATATTTCGCTCCATTAGTTGGAGGAAAGGAAGAATTACGTCGCACGGTCGAATCAACTGAATCTATCATTTCTCGACATTTCATAGAAGTATCTACAAATCACTGGAGAGGTCTTCCTGAACTTACCAACAAAGACGGAGAATATTGCAAAGATAGTTGCAGAACACAAGCTTGGAGTGCTGCTTCTATATTAGAAGTTTGTATATATGTTATTAATCGTATATATGTTATTTAAAAGTATAATACTGATGATCTAATTGATTGCTATTATATATTTCATTTCAGGTTCTTTACGACTTGGATAAAATTAAACGGGAATTACGATCTGAGGAGAATGAAAGAACGAATTGATATAATTTTGCGTGTGTTCACCACCGCCAATTACACTTAGAACATTTGCGACTAGAAAAAGAACGTAGCATTAGAAATAAAGATCACAATGATAAATGGCACATATTTAACACAGCTATAGAAACACCAAGCACGGAGACACACGCATTTGGTATTTCGCACATAGATAAAATGCCACTGTGCAAATTTATAAATGCTGACATGACGTCTGCAAGCGATGACGTTTTCTTGATGCAAGCACTTCAGGAAAATGAAAATAAGAAAGATACTAAACACGATTATGTATCTCCTACTGCCATTAGTAATTTAGAAATAATTGAGACTATGTCAAATACAACAGAATTGTCAATGACATTGGGAAGCGAACTTCATAAATCAAGGCAATTTATATATGGAAATGAACTTTTAAAATGTGAGACTAAAAATAAATTTAAAGATGATCTAATTGACCACAATGTTGTATTAATGAAACAGAATACAGAAGAAAATAATGCAATGACAAAATACTCATCTAAACTAGATCATGTTTATGAAGAAGTTAATGCTCTTGAATGTGATATTATGGATTATTACGAAAAATATAGCCCTACTACGGCGAAAACTTTGATAAATACACTTTTTCTTCCTCTATATAAAATTTGTAAAAAATGTGCCAGTTTACAAGGTAGTCCAGTATACTCTGATCGTTTAATATATACAAAGAAGCCATTGTATGCGAGAGAAGTTCATTTATTTCAACAAAACGAAACTTTACAGTTTAAGTATTGCTCAGAAAATGGTAAACATGACAATACGTTATATTTGCAATACGATGATGCTCGGCATTGCTTGTTAGTTCATAATTATTTAAAAACTAATGCTTCCAGTATATTCTACTTTTATGGCCTACCACGAGATATTTTTGATTTAAAAACAATATTAAAACCAAATATTTTGGTTATAAATAATAATGAAAAAGAAATAGTAAATACAGAGTTATATCATCGGTGTACAAGTAATTTTTATACAAGAATATCAAGTAATGGTATTGCACCTACAGCATTTCATATGAATCATAATAATATTTTAAATTCTATAAAACATGTTGGATACGATACTGATTTGCAAAATTGGATGAACTATCGTAACGATGTATTTCGATCATACAGTTTCAAACAGGATGATGTAATTGATCATCGTGCGAATAGATCCAGTTTGTTATTGTTAGAACCATTGCTGTTAATGCCAGAAGTAGGAAATTCTAGGTACAGGCAAGGAAAAAATCGTACACAATCAGAACACGTAAAAATAGTAAAAATAGTAACTGCATATACTCTTTCTTTCTTCATTTTAGCAATAATCACATTTTATATAGTTTATTTCACTTAATAAAATGTGACTAGAGTTCAACTAAAACATAATATTCATTTGCACTTATTCTTTTGTCTCTTGCATAATATATTTGGAAATATATTTTCGTTCTAATTTTATTTAAAAACTTATATATGAAACGACATAAATATTAATTGTATCTTTTATTCATATATTTTTTGCACAAAACTTTCATATGATAAATTTAATATAAACTGTATTTTTGTTGTTGTTATTATTATTATTATTATTATTGTGAATTGTTATATCCTTTATCATGCTTGTTTCATAAATTATCAAGAATTGTTACCGTAATTAAAAATTTATTGATCTTTATATAGTTATGCAAAACATTTTTACATTGCTTTAGAAAATTATTTATATGTAACTTTATGAAAGCATAGCTGAAAGTATACAAAAAATATTACATTTTATATAAAGTAAATATTTCAACTTCAGAAGATATATTTATATATATTTTTAATATTGTAAAATGTAATTAAGGGAATACTCAAATAAGGTTACTGGAATTCGTTATTTCCTATTAATACATTAAATATTTATTAGCAGATACGACTATTGCACGTATATTTTAGATACATAATATTTTCTTAACTGTTTCCATATCTGTAGGAAATATTTGCAATAAAATTAATATACATATTTCATTTTGCATAACGGAGAAAGTTTTTTTCCCTTTCGAGCTTCACGTATCTCCTTTCTTGATTTTAAAATACAAATAAAGTTATATTACAATATAATATAATATATATAATATTATGTATAAACTTTACATAAACGAATTTTGAATTATCAAATTAAATAATACAAATATTTATTATTTACAAATTTAACCATTTGCAAAAATAATTAAAATTTATTTCAATTTGAAATAACTGAATTTTCTTAGAAAGATCTTGTTCAGTACGCAACACAAATATTTTTTTTCATATTGTAATAAAAATTCTAAGTACTAATATACAGCTCATATATACATTGTACTATTCTAAATATAGCGAATCAGTAAATTACTTGCATCTTAACGATGTATAAGTGAAAAATAAATATAAATATTTAAAACCATTTTTTTCTACACTTTATTATACTTTAATTAAAAAATAATTTTATCATATTTACTGTCTCTACTTACGTTATCTCTATATTTGAAACTTGTGAAAATTATAATAAATATATTGTATTGAAATTATTATTCAGATTATAAAATCGAAACAAGAAATAATCGGAAAACAAATTTGCTTAATTACTTAATTGTCCAAACTTTTATAACTTTCTATTATCTATTATTTCTATTTTACTCTATATTATTATTTTATGCTTCTTTAAATATGCAATGCATATATTGTTAAAAATATATCAAATACTGTATGAAATTCAACATTTTACATTACATCAATAGAACTACAATATTATTATATTAATATTATTAATATTAATCGTAAAAATTTATAAAAAAATTATATAGATTAAAATAAACCAGTAAATCAAAATTTACTTTTATTTGTCCACTTGAAATTTAATAATAAGCAATAAAAGTATAAAAAACAAATTTTTTAATCATACTATTCATGAACTATATCATTCAATTGTATGTTATGTTATAATGTAATTGTCACCTGTTCAAAATTCCAGATTTAATATTTAAAAAATTTTATTATATGTCGAGTATAGATCGAATATTTTTTAAATATAAATGTACCTATTTCATAATTTATTACTGAGCAAAACCTGAACGTTATTAGGTTCTATTTAAATGTCGTCGAATAATCCTCTTTGTGGAGGTCCTATACGATTAGTATTTGCGATAAATGCTCTTGCATTGTCTGTTTGTTCTTCATAAAAATCATCAGCTTGGCAGCTTGTATCGTAACTATTATTTGCACCATAACTATCAACCCCAGACGCCATACCAATGTAATAATCTGCAGGATCAAAGTCACGTAATAACCCGGCTCTTGCAGATTCTACTGATTCATCTCGTTTTAAAGGTCGGACTATAATTTAATTTAAATTTGAAATGTAAAAGTTAGTGACGCCTACGTTTTTACACTATATATATTATCACTTCTACACAAATTGTAAATACCTGTATCAGTACTTTGCCGTGAGGTTCTATAGCGAGATGAACTGGCAGCACCACTAAATCTTTCTTGAAACTCCCGTCTTCTGTACATTAAATCTTCAGCTCTTTGTCGTTTACGTCTCTCTAAAAATGAGCATATAAATACATTTATATAAAAGAAAATATTTGAATTTATATATATATATATATATCTATTATAATAAAATAGCGTTACCTCGTTTTATTAACTCTTGACCTTCCTCAACAAGATCTGTTGTAAACTCATCATCATCAAGAAACTGTTGAAAACCTAACATAGAAAGCAATCTACTCCCTAAACTAAAGTACGTTGCTAGACAAAATGCTAGAATAGCCATTGGAAAGTATACATTGAATCCATCAGATATAATGGAAATAACATCCATATGTCCCATTACCTAAATAAGTGAATTACAGAATAAATTTTAAATTTATCATGAGAATGCTATAATTGTTCATATATTTACTTGAGTGTAATGAGTTTCCAAAATGTGAGTTTTAATAATATGCGAATCCATGTGTACAAGACCCAAAAAGTTTAAACACATAGGTGGTGTAAGACGGCATAACATCATTCCACTAAATATTAAACTATACTCGTTAGTCTGATGATGAGGTGCCAAGTAATATAAATTCAATACACGAATTTTTAAAACAGTCGAATAAGCGCAGTAACAAAGATAAGCAATTATCAGCATTGATAATACCTATAAAAAATATTTTAACTATCTTTTTCTCTCTTTCTCTCTCTGTCTTTCTCTCTTTCTTTTATATTAATTTTTAATTTTTAAAATAAAAATTTCGTTTTTTAGTATCAGATATATCGTATCACAATATCAAATATATCACTATTTTTACCTCAATTGTAAAATAATCGTAATTTGCCTTAGCTAGATTCAAAAATTGGGCAAATAATGATAACACTGGAGTTTTATTAAAAAACGTTACTTCTGACCACACTACAGCTATTGAAAGACATCCAGTACAAATAGCTACGATCTTTTGTACATAACTCTTTATGACACATTTCCAATACCATTCTAAAAATATTAATATATATATATATATTATATATTCTAATAAATATTAATATATAGATAAAAATGATATATTTCTATAATCATTACTATTTAAAGCTTACCTATAACTGGACTATAAACAACACGAAGTGGAAATGAACGATGAGTAGGGAAAGTTGGTTTAAATCTTCTATCATCACTTACTTGATTCTTTGCTATATCTTCTAAATCAATTATTTTATCAACCAAAATTCCCCATTGTGTTTCTATCCGTTGTAAAGTTTGCAATGCTTTTATTGTCTAATAAAGAAAAAATGAATAAGTAATTATGTTTATATATTTATATATACAATATATTTAATTAGTAACAAACTTGTCTATGTAAACGTATTAAAGCTTTTTCAGATGGTGTATCTGTTGGTGTATCATCTGGCAATTGTCTTCTATTCATTCTATCTTTTAATTCTGCAGGAATCTTTTGAAAAATCGTTTCTAAATTGCAATGAAAAGGATGCCCTGGTCCAATTGATACTGTAGCAGTTTGTAAGGACTAAAAAATAAGATAATATAAGACAATGATAAAGGTAATTAAATGTAAATTAAATAAAATATTTAATTACTTCAAGTATGTCATCTACTGTCTCTTCTGCTTCGCATTTATCCAAACTTAATTTAGCAACTTTAAAATAGCTATAATTTAAAGTGTATCCAGGTTTACTAGCATTCCATAATCCACGAGGAACTTCTACAAGTGCATATCCAAGAAGTAATACCAATAAGAATAAACCCCATGTATTTGATGCAGATGATGCTATAGCTTTTAATTTTTGACTAAAAAAAATACATATGTATATAAACGCATAATATATTTTTACATGTATTATACAAATGTATTATATTTACCCATCAAAATCAAAACCAGGCTTCAGTGCTATATATATTAAAAGTATGCCACATATGAACAAATAACTTCCATAGTATATAGCATTATCTATTAAAGCAGATTTTAGCTTTCCTTGAACTGTGAAATCGCCTGCTTTTATATAAGATTGCATAATTGGTAATATCAGCCATGTTAAACATTGCGAGGTCCAATATACAATCCTCCATAAATTTGGGAATATATGTTCTGGTACATTAGGCCAAGGTTCTTTACAAGTATGAAATGGGATTGTTGTTGTACTGTCAGAGTTTAGTTTTGTGTTATTATGAATATTTTGTTCAACACACTGTCTAAAAACAGTCTACAAGAAAATAATGTATTAACATATATTGTAACAATATATTAATTGGTCTGATATTATTAAAATTAATAAATTTTATTACTCACAGATGAAACATCTAAAGGTAAGATAAATATTATTAGCAGTGAAAAATACCATGCTATCAGCACAGAAACTGTAACAATAATGTGATGTCGAAAAATATTCCCATATTTATACAATAAAGTGGCAGCAAGACAAAATGCTGCTATGATTTCTGTCAAGAATACTCCAAGAACCATTTTGGTAACTTCTAATTTTTTACTTCACCATATCTCTACAATTTATACTTTAATTCTTAAAACTTATTCATTATTATTTTCATTACTGTATTCTACTGCTTCTCGCATCTTTAATTCGGCATCCTTTTGCATTTTCTCTAACTTTTCTAACGTAACAGATTTTAATGGAATTAATTTGGGCTTACAGAGAATATAATCCAAATTTTCTTCCTGGTATAACAAAATTTGCCTAGGAAGGATTACGTCAATCTTTTCTGCAGAATTATCCATCAATTGTGACATTTTTGCTGGAATCAAAAAGGATTTATATATTCTATTTATATACTTATATAGCTAAGATTATATACAATTTTAAATAAAAGTTTCTAAATCATTCCTAAATAAATACAATATCATAATGCGTGCATACTTCATGTGTTTAATTTATATAGCTTTCAATACAAAATACAAGTAGATTGTATAAAAAGAAATCATAATTTTCAAAATCAGTCACTTGAACAAGGGAATCAAATATTCGAATATAAAAATTAACAGACGGTTCGTAATCACGTTCCACATATTTACTTAAATAACTACCGAAATAGTTCGCGTTTTAAATTATATACGTATACATTAGAACATACTTTTGTCAGTGAAAAATGCAATATATCCATTTCTTTTTTATAATAAAATCGTTAGGCATACATCGTAACGACACAATAAAAGATATCAACGTCACATGAACACCATGTCATTTACGAATAATATAATACTGTCTACTTTAGGTCCAGGCTATGATTAGGATAATCTGGCAACAATGCCAGAACTGGGACTTTCGCCCCGATATAAACATAACCTAGTCACCACAGCCCCCTCTATAGACTTTCCGCGATTTTATGAAATGCTTGTTCACAGTAATGTTTTGTATTAATAAATGATACTAAACGACGTTGCAATGTGTTATATACGATAAAATGTACAATAATGTACGTGACATATATAGCGCAGGTTTGTTCGATATCTTATTTGCATTACACGGCTGTTTTTTTGGTAAAGCTTAAAAGTCAAAATTTTCGTTGCAACACTCTTAATTACGAGTGCCTGCAATCTTCCCAGTTTTGCAGAAAATTATAATAGCGTTTTAAAACGAATTAACATCCAGCATTTAATTTCATTCTATTTAATTTCCAAAGTAAACAATGAAATGAAAAAGTTCAAGAATTCGTATTCGTAGAAAATCGTACGGCGAGGAGATAGTAAATTTAGTAAATCACAGTGCTGCCCGAGCATTTTTTGTTCACAAGGGAAACAGAAGTTTCATAGCAGGGGATTTCTTAGCTTTGTTACTTTCGTTGTCAAGGAAATGGCAGATGTGATTAATGACGAATCTGCAAAACGCTGATTGATTATTTATTATACATTTTAAATCAATTATTTAATTTTTATCATTTATAATCGATTATTGATTGTACATTTTAAAAATGTATTTGACGGATTCAATACATTTTTAAATACACTTCTATTGGTCGAAAGTGTTATTATAAGAAACTCTTATAAACAAAACGTATTTCACTGAGTGATGGTGAGTAGTCACTTTCTTTGTCTTTTTATTCTTTTTATTCTTTTGCTAGTCTGTTTCACCTTTCGAGTACTTGTGTGAAATTTAAAATTCAAGATTGTTCTTTGAAATCGAATTTTTTTGAACTTTTTTTGAACTAGAAAAAAAATATAAGAAGTGAAAATATACATAAATTATTATTAAGAAGAGTACATACAAATGAGCACTATTTTACCAATAAATAAATGCAAAATAATATAATAAAATGTATTTTATATATTTTTGTGCTTAATATTGATTAAAAAAATAATTTACATACTTCATATATTACTAATTATTTTACACACTTAATATTTTATTAAATTACTATAAATATTACTACATGACAATAATAATTATTTTTTCTAGAAATTTGTATTAATAACGTTTGAGGAAACCCCGCTTTTTGAGATAACGTGTATTTGTACATCAAAGCACTATTTTCTCAACTTTTATTGGTTGTTTAAATAAATTTTCCTAATATGGAAAATAGAAACAATAAACAGAGATCTCACATGATCACGTAAGAAAATTCGATATTAGACAGTAAATAATTTTATTTATTTCAAAAAATTGATAAATAATATTTATTTCTGTATTAGGCACTGTACAAGTTTTAAAGTATGTGAACTAGTGACATTACCAAGGATTAAACTTCCAGCTGATTTATATGCAGCGTTAAATAATAAAAGTCCTAAAAATAATAAACAATTATACAATTGTTATGTAAATTTTATTAACTATCTTCCACACATAAAAAAGATAGACACTAAGTATTATTCGCTACTGTTTAGAATGTTATTGTATTTGGAACAGCATGAACTTCAATTAATTGTTGGAAGACACAATTTGAAAAATCAGAAACTGGAACAAGTTTCTGATAAATTTAGAATTATAGTACCTACTTTAGATGAAGATGACCGGTTCATTGATATTGGTGATGAGTTAACTATTAAGTCAAAAGACTTAAACTACTCATGTAATTTTAAAATAATAGATATTATGCAGAAAGAAGTATATGTAGCAGTATCAGATGAGTAAGTATATTTAATTTGTAAGAAGTAAAAAATAAATCATAAATTAACATGTATGTAGTCATAATTATTTGAAAAACTTTTCAGATTTCCCATATCTCAACTTCTTGAAAATAAAGTTGATGTATTTTTTCATGCTGTAAATTGGCCATTAAAATGTTATCATTATGTCTTAGACAATATGTGCCATTATAATTTAGAAAATTTAATAAATCCCAAAATAAATACAGATCATTATACTTCATCAAAAGTGTAAGCTTTATTTAATAATTATCTTTAATTTGTATGTCACAACATTTTCTTATATATTAGTCACAATCATTATATGATGCAGCGATTTGGATTGGGTTCATAAAAATGTAGCAAATAATGAAGAACAGAAAACAGCGGTGAAGAATATTTTGAACAGTTCATCATACCCTGCACCATATATTATATTTGGTCCTCCTGGTACTGGAAAGACAACAACATTAGTTGAAGCTATTTGCCAAGTATAAATTAGTCTAATTTCTAGCATAATATAAAATAGAAATTGCTTTCATTCTAAAATTTTACTCCTGTTATTTCATAGATTAGGAAAAAATACAAATCAAAAAATATTTTGGTATGTACATCTTCAAATGCAGCAGCAGATGAAATTACAAGGAGATTATTGCATCTCCTTCGTCATAAAGATGTATTTCGTATGTATTCCTCACATAAATGTTGGTAAGTTTTTATTTTCATAAATATTTAATACTTTATTAGTTTCATTTTTTTTTAAATTTGTAGTAGTGACATAGATGAACAAATTTATCCAATTTCAAATTTTATTAATGATGCGGTTATTTATCTACCAAAAGAAATTTTTATTTGGAAGAAAATTGTTATTTCAACATTTGTATCGTGTATGAGGTATGGGTTTTGTTTATTTTTATAATTTTTTCAATAATGATTGTATTTATGATATTTACAGTTTTTTAATTGCAGATTGGCGAATCTTAAATTACAAACTAATCATTTTTCGTATATATTTATTGATGAAGCCAGTCAAAATATAGAAATAGAATCATTAATTCCATTTGTAATCACAAAAAATAGAACTGAAGCAACATCACATGTGCAAGTTGTTATTGCTGGTGATCCATACCAACTGGGGCCTGTAATTTCATGCAAAAAAATCGAACATTTATTAGGTAAGTATTATTAAAATTAAATTTATGTTTTATTAACTGATATAGAATTACATTCTATTTTTAGGAAGATCTTTATTAGAAAGATTAATGGAATGTGAACCATATCAAAAAGTAAACAATAAATATAATTCCCGTTACATAACAAAATTAATTTTTAATTACCGTAGTAAAGAAGCTATTATATATACGTCTAATAAAGAATTTTATGAAGGCGATTTGTTGTGTTTTAAAAAGGAAAATACACATAGCATAATTTCAAATTGGCGAACATTTTCAGAAAAAACATTTCCTGTCTTATTCATTAAAGTTAATGGCGAAGAAATAAGAACGCCTAATACGAGGTAATTACATTTCTATATTAAAAACTGTGTCGTTATTTAATTACCCGAATTTAAAGATATTTTTTAACTTTTGATTAAATACATTATGTTTTTAGTGTTTATAATGAAAAAGAGATCGCAGCCGTAAGAGTTATTGTTAATAAATTAATGAATTCCAAAATTGGTAGTCGCGAAATTAAAGAAGAAGATATTGGAATTTTAACTCCATTCAAGCAGCAAAAAATTATGATTGAAAGATATGTAACAAATAATATAACTGTCGGAACAATAGATACATTCCAAGGACAAGAAAGAGAAATTATAATCTTAAGTACAGTACGTTCAAAAGTTTTTGAACACAACAATAAACGACATATCGGTTTCTGGTCCAATCCAAAGGTATAATTTTACATGTTTTTTTATACTTCAAGTATAATACAAAAACTTAAGAATTGTATTTATTTATTTTTTCAGAGATTTAATGTTGCCATGACAAGAGCAAAAGATTTATTAATAATAATAGGAAATCCACATATTCTTTGTCTAGAAAAATATTGGTATACTGTATGGCAATATTGTGAAGAAAATAATGCAACTATTTTTTTGGATAAAATCTTATCTGAAGATTTTAATATATGAAATTTTTAATGTATAATAAAAAATTATTAATTATCCATAGACTATTTTTTTACGAAAGTAATCTATTAATATATTACAAAGACTTCGTTTTCTTATATTTCATACTAACTCTTTGCACTCAAGTGACGAGTGAGAGGCATTAATTATATAAAATATTAAAAAAATAAATAAATATATATTAAATAAAATATTAAAATATAATTGTATAATTTTTGTACATTTGTGTATAAAATTATTTTATATTAGCTGTAAGGTGCGCATCAGATACGCGCAAAAACGTCTCAAGATGCTACTTCAGTCAACAGGAAAAATTTTCGAGTACAAAGGGTTAATATTTGAATAAAATTTTAATAGTTAATTTCAAGTAGAACAAAGATACAAATAAAAAAAATTTATTTGTATTTAAAACATTATTTCAGAACTTTAAAAAATTACGTATTAAGTTTACAATTAAACTTTCGTTTAAAATTGGATAATGTGTAAATATTTAAGAATGATTTCTTGTAAATTTGAAACTTTAATCAATAATTTTAATGTTACTTTGTAAAATATAAGTTTATTCTAAAAGTAGTTTCGCAGTATTTCCACTAATATCCTTATTAATACCGTGACGTACAGCAAATTCATGTTTTACACTCGCGAAAAGAATATCTGTCAGTAAAAAAATTTGTGCTATCGCAAATGCTAATGTGACTCCAAAATAAAAATTTGCATTAGCTGATCTAGAATAAATCCATTGATACCAAACAGTAGGTGCAAAAACTGTACAAAATAACATAAAACAGCCTACAATAAATCCTTGTTGTGTATCTGTAAAAGAACATAAGATTTTTATAATACATCATGTTTTTCACTCAATAAACGTAGTTAATACAAAAACTTACATTGGAATAAGTGTTTCCATAGCGGTAAAAGAGACATATAAAATCCAACATCTCCTATGCAAGGATAAGATTTAAATATGGCAGTAACTGCTAAATAAGAAAATGCTAATAACATAGGATCATGTCGTAACCTTAATGCCAATGGTACTATATACAATAAACTGACATTTATTTGAAAGGAAGCGATGAAAAGCCATCTAAAATGCTCAAATACTTCTGTGAAAAAGTACCAGTAAAGTCCAACATTTGGACGTAAATCAGGAACAGTTAGGATAAAGCCAAGTGTGCTCCAAAGAAATGACCAACTTCCCATAATATAATATGAAATGCCAAACAGAGTGGTTATTATGCTTGCAAATACTATAACATAGTTTATAATATTTCTTTTTCGGTTTATACTATTAGAATGAGTAATATAGATGATCGCTGGCATTATAAGTGAAACAGGATAGAGTCCTTGTAGTGTTAATAGAGAAATTGATAAACAATTCCAAAATATAGATCTTGTCATTGAAACCAATGCTATGGAATACAACAAATTTGTGAATACTGTTGTTGTATGTCCAACACAGTTGAGTATTATATATGGATTGAATAAATATCCTGCTGAGACATACATCATTGAAGTATATACTATAGATGCATCATTATGAGTTTCTTTATTTTCATTGCACAATTTTTCTTCTACTTTTTGTTTAGAAACCTAAAATTAAAATTATTTCATTATAATTGAATTATACCAACATAACATTTTAAATATGTGCAACTTAACTGACCAATTCAGTTGCATATTGTTTAGCTGTAAGTCCAAGAAATACTGCTGTTAACAAATCGGTAAATACAAATAAGCAAAATAAGATCCATTGTGATAGATGTTGCTGTATGAAATTGAAAACATATAATCCAATTGGTGTTTCGTGAAACAAATCTCCTGTATAGGGATCAATGCCACAATTATACAAATACACTCCTTCAGTTACTAAAAGTGAATTAGAATCATAATTATTAAGCAATATTAAAATAATAATGCTACTAACAATACAACTGAATGCATAAATACATATTATTATAGTATTTATAATAAAAAACAATAACACAAATTTTATTTCTATTATCATAGAAAAATTAAGTAATAAAGTGACATTCATTCTAACCTCTCTTCCACGAATTCAGCGCAGTAGATACTTCCACACGATCGCTAATAACTTTCTGATATTCAGAATTCATTAATAAAAATCTAATAATACCGGCTAATACAAAATTTGATAACCATTGTTTCTTCATTTTTTAATTAAATTATGAATCATTTATGTATATTCGTGTTCTACGATCGGTATTTTTGACATATAAGTGACATTTAAACAGACATACTACATATTTGCTTTGTTTATTTAAACAATTAATTTTATCTCTATTATTTTTTAGAATATAATCTTTGATAGCGATATCTTTTTGCTTTCAATTGCTGTTAAAATTACAACCAAACCGTTGCATGTAAGCGATGATTTTCTTTTCTTAATGAGTCCAATTTACTTGTCACAATTCAATTCAAAATGCAACGTATGTCAGAAACCATGTAACCGGTTTGATAAACTGATAAAATTATTTTTCATTTCATTTGAACCCTATTTGAATCCCATTTATTTAAATCCAGTTTCTATGAAGAAAATTTTATGCAATAAGTCTGTTTGATATATGTATGATATACATTGGTACTTATGTTATACTTCCTCTTCAAGTCAAAAGTACGAATAAATAATAAAACATGAATATACGTATAAATTCGAAAATGTCTAATTTATATTTTGTTTGTAAAAACTTGTATTTCTCTTCAATTGTAAAGTGTTCTCATTCATATATATTGCTTTTGTGTTACTGTTAATAATCCAAATTATATATATGCTAAAAAATTTTGTACATCGTTACATACTTATTATGTATTTATTCCTGTTTTCAATTAAGATAAAAATTCTGTTGTGCTTTATAGAATATTCAATAAAAATTCTATTTCTTAATTAGAACAAAAAATGTGGAACGCTTCACGATTTTGCGTGTCATCCTTGCGCAGGGGCCATGCTAATCTTCTCTGTATCGTTCCAATTTTAGTATATGTACTGCCGAAGCAAGTACATCAGTAACTCTTAATTTCTTGTATATAAAGGAACTACTTTATTTTTAATCACTAGCGAGAAAGTATTTTTTGTAGCCATCTAGTGGCATATTAATGCAATACTAAACAACTCGAGGCACGATACGTGATAAAGATGATGGTATTGTTTCGTTAAATTTTCTTACAAAACTTTTGAATCGTATACAATTATCTTGTAGTTGTATTTTTCATTAAAAAACGTTATTACGATAAAAGTAATGATCTTATTTAAGATTGAACATAATAACTATTTTAGGTTACTGTTCATCTCTCAAACTACATATATAATTTATTTATAGATCATACTGATTATTATTAAAATTGTTCTGTACAAAATTTTCTACTAGTGCAGATAATAAGTCTTCAGTACGTAAAAACAATTTTAATAACATATTTTATGTTTTAGCATAAACGATTGACAGGATGGCGATATGTAGTATTCATAGGAACGATAACAGGATACTTAGGAATATACTGTTATTTTACAATGATAGATCCTATGCTTAATCCAGAACCATATAGTATGTATTTAACACTTCAATTATTAAAATTTTAGACTGACGTAAATAAATTAATTAATCTAACATAAAAATTTCAGAACAATTTCGAGAACGTGTAGAAATAGAAAATCAAAACAAAGCAAATAAAAATAAATATTTATAACGAAGTATATTTTGAATGAAAAAAAAAAACAGATTAGAGAGGACATTTATTATATAAAATTAATTTTTATTATGTATTGTAGTTGAACATATGTCATTAAGATGTTGGTGTATATAAAATAGGCTGAAAAACATTTAGTATGTTAAAAAATCAATAAATGTAATAGTTTGTACTCCTCTTATAATTATTAATATAATTGCGTTACTGTACAGACATCTGCTGCAAGAAGTTTCTTATTTGAAGTGACTAGAAACTCTCCTACAGACATTTTAAAAATATAATACACAGTTTGTGTTAAAAGTCGTCATGATCACAAACATCTAGGAAGACATCAAATGCTTCACGGTTACAATTTCCATCAGTAGTGAAAACATATTTATGAAATGTTCCATCCATACATATAGCTAAAAATAATATAAAATTTAAAAGTACCTATTACATATTTAATAAATGCTTATGTCTAAAATAAGATTTATAAATATTTTATGTAATTACATTGAATATGCTTTTCATGTACTACGTACCTATAACAGAACTTCTTGTACCAAATGCACATACACAAGCACATTCTGGTGGTACTGTAAATGTAGCTAATGCCCATTGACTTTCAACATAATTCCCCAAAAATCCTACTTTTGAAAAACTACAAATAAATTCATCATTAATTGTAATCATTGAAATTTATAAAACTTTGAGTTATATTTACGTACGTCGATCTACGATTTAATTGTGTGTCTTTTAATGCAAATATATGTACTGTTCCTTTATCACTGGAAGCACATAGAAATTCCGAATCTCTACTAAATGTAATGCTGAAATATCATTTATTATAATTCATTACAATAAAATTTTTAAAAGCAAAATTCTGTTTCATTTTCATTTGTTTGTAGTTATATTTACCAATAAAGAGTTGCAGGATCAGCACCTCTTCTTAATTCCACTAATAAATGTCTACGTACACTGTCCCATACTCTAATTAAAGTACCTTGTGTGGAAGCAGTTGCTATCATTGTTCCACTACTGTTAACTGCGAGACAAGCTAATGCACCCTAATCATATGGTTTATAAATATAAAGAAATACTAAGAGGATGGTGATATAGAAGTTTTCTTTAAGTTTTTATTAAATAAGATATACTTACCTGATGTGCTGCAAGACTTGCAGGAGCACTAGAACTTCCAGCATCTGTAGCAGCAAGATCAATTAATTGAACACTGCCTTGTTTGTGACCAGGAAAAGCAAGAAGTTGTTTCTGTGCAGTAGCTAACGTAGCAACTTCAATTAATCCTTTTGGATTGTCTCTAGTTTCTAAAGTTAATAATCTTCGTGTTGGCATAGGAAACGAAAAGACATGTATTTCTCTTTGAAGTGCCACTACCATTCTGTTTTGCAAAGTTATTTTTAAGTGTAACATTTACATTGACTAAAAGTAGAAGATAATTTTATTAATAAACTTACTTGTCCCTACGTAATCTTACAGCTTTTATAGGACTGGTAAATGTAATCTCCATTATAAACTTTTTAGATAAATCATCATAAATAAGTACTGTATTTTCTGCAAACTTTGGCTTTGTACCACCACCTACTATGGCAATGATATTTGTTCTCCAAAGCATTTCTGCAGTAGCTATGCTTCCCATAATGTCACTTTCCAAATGTGCTTTTTCAACTAATGGTTCTACATTATATACTCTGAGGCCAGATTCCATGCAACATGTGAAACATCCTAAAAGAATATAAATTAAAAACAAATTCTTATAGTGAAACTAGTTTGATAAGTGATAAAATATTATTAATATTGATTACCATAAGTTTTAGTAAATTATAATAATAATAATAATAATAGTAATTTTTAGTAATTAAATCAAAATGCGAATAATAATAATACAACAACAATACTGTTATAATTAAACCACGATCTCTTTTGACATTATACTTTTACTTTTTATTCTCGTGACATAATGTTTATTTTTTTTTACAAAACAAAATATTTTGTGAATGTTTTTAGTTTTTTTAATTTTAAAATAACTACATGAATAATAGAAAGAATATTAAGTTTTCAAATATTGAAAATAAATCTACATTGTGAAACCACGTTTTGAACTCAAGTAATTTATGTTATGAGCAATAGTTACCTTGATCTTGATTAAATCGTAAACTAAGAATATCTTTTTCCCCAGCCATTTGGTGTTACATCAAAACAGACGTATGAGTATTTCTTATATTGATATATGAATTTTTTTTCCTAATAACTGTACTACGTGTTTTTGTTTACATTCTTCTTTCAGCTGTGTTACTATGCTTGGTATACTAGTTCAATCTTTGTATGAATCATAAGATAGCAAAGATAAGGCTGATTTTCACTTTTTAGATAAATTAATCTTATTTATGAATAATGCGAGCAAACAGCTATGCAAATAATAAGAAACGCAATGATTTCTATTAATGAGTTACATTTAGAAAAACTGAAAATGCAAAATGTAAAATTCAAATAAGTTTGGTAACGGTTTAATTCATTTAACAACGGTGACGTGTTACATTGAATAATTATAATTGTTATTATTGTTGTGCATTCGTATATTTGAGAGAAATAATAATAATAATAAAAAAATTATTTTAAAAAATAAAATGACTATATTTCTGTGAATAAATAAAATCTCTAGTGCAAATCTACCCAGTTTTACGCTTACATCATTGGCTGCAGTGATATTTCCAATATCCTGCATTGCAGTTCGTGTACTGTGTATGGAAATTTATTATCCATAAGATTCTGTCAAAAAAATGTCAGCAATGGTAAGTTAAGTATAAAAAGTGACTTAATATTTTATTTTTTTCGGTTCTCGAATATATTTCATGTAACAAATATACATTATGTTTAATTGAATGTATATTTGAAAAGAACCTTGTGTCATCCCCTCCTTGTTTCAAATTTCATCAATACTTGAGACTATGTAAGTGATATACTGTCAAATAAACGAGATTCGCTTTTTTAATAGTGAAATTCTTTCTTCGTAGAGGATGAAAGCAGTACGGTGTCCTACTGATGAACTTAGTATTACAAATTGTGCTATAATTAATGCAGATGACTTCCCAGATGATGTCAGGTAAAAATTCCTTGTTTAATTAATTCATTGATTTGATACCTATAATAAGATTTGAAACTTAACCGACATATACGTACATATTGATTCTGATGAGATTTCAAACTAATTAAATTGACATATAATTTAATTTATCCTTTTATTTCTGTATAATAATATATTGATTATATTAATCTTAGTTGTTGAATTTATTTATTTATCTATTATTTAAAGTAAATAATTTAATCTATTACATTTATATTAATAATAAGACAAAGAAAGAAAAAATAGAATTTTCACTTAATTTGTCTTAGAATAAAATTTAAATTTTTTTAACATTTTGTTTGTATTTTTAGACATATTGAAGTTACCACTGCACCAAATTATCATTTTGTCTTTACTGTAAAACGACATCATGAAGTACCTAGAGGAACTGTGGGATTTAGTTTACCTCAGAGAAAATGGGCTACTCTTTCACTTAATCAAGAAATTGAAGTCAGACCATATCATTTTAATCCTACTTCAAGTACAGAATGTTTATGCACTATTGTATTGGAAGCTGACTTCTTACAAAAAAAATCGTATGTATATTACATGAAAAATTTAATGAAAATAGTATTCATAATAAAATTTATAATATAATATAATATTTATGTATTTTAGGACAAGTTTGGAACCATATAATACTGATGAAATGGCAAAAGATTTTCTACTGCAATTTTCAGGGCAGGCATTCACCGTGGGTCAGCAGCTGGTTTTTCAGTTCAAGGATAAAAAGATGCTTGGTCTTGTAGTTAAAAGTTTAGAAGCTGCTGATCTATCTGCTATAAGTTCTGGACAAAATACAGTACCCAAAAAAACTCAAATGGGGCGCTGTTTGGGTGATACTGTTATACAGTTTGAAAAGGCAGATAATTCAAGTTTAAACCTTGTTGGCAAAGCAAAAGGAAAAGTTGTTCGACAATCCATTATCAATCCAGATTGGGATTTTCAAAAAATGGGAATTGGTGGACTGGACAAGGAATTCAGTGCCATTTTTCGGAGAGCATTCGCGTCACGAGTTTTTCCACCAGAAATTGTTACACAATTGGGATGTAAGCATGTGAAAGGAATTTTACTTTATGGTCCACCTGGTACAGGTAAAACGTTAATGGCAAGGCAGATAGGGACTATGTTAAATGCTAGAGAACCCAAAATCGTCAATGGCCCTCAGATTTTGGATAAATATGTTGGAGAAAGTGAAGCTAATATTAGGAGATTATTTGCTGATGCCGAGGAGGAGGAGAAGAGGGTATTATATATTATAAAGACATTTTCAACTTTATTTACATATTTTGTATGAGTTTTTATTAGTGTACTAAGTAAATTTTCATTTTTAGCTTGGACCAAATAGTGGATTGCATATAATTATTTTTGATGAAATTGATGCTATTTGTAAATCTCGTGGTAGTGTTGCTGGAAATACAGGAGTTCACGATACTGTTGTAAATCAGCTGCTCGCAAAAATTGATGGTGTGGAACAACTAAATAATATTCTTGTTATTGGCATGACTAACAGAAGAGATATGATTGACGAAGCTTTATTACGACCTGGTAGATTAGAGGTATTGCATTTCATATTAAATATTCTTTAAAGACAATGCTCGAAAATTCATTGCTAAATATATTTATATATATATATAGGTACAAATGGAAATCAGTTTACCCGATGAACATGGAAGATTCCAAATACTTAATATTCATACATCTAGGATGAGAGATTATAAGAAGATATCGCCTGATGTTGATCTAAAAGAACTAGCTACATTAACTAAAAATTTCAGTGGTGCAGAGCTAGAAGGTTTAGTTAGAGCTGCACAAAGTACTGCTATGAATAGATTAATCAAAGCTTCCAGTAAGGTTGAAGTAGATCCTGCTGCAATGGAAAAACTTATGGTTTCCAGAACTGATTTTCTTCATGCTTTAGAAAATGACGTTAAACCTGTAAGTAATTTAAAAAAAAAATTTAAATGTTATTAACAGAAAGCAATAATTTGCATTGCGTTGTCTAATATACTTTATATCACAGGCATTTGGTACAAGTGCAGAAGCATTAGATCATCTTCTTATACGTGGAATTATTAACTGGGGCAAACCAGTGGCAGAAATTTTGTCTGATGGCAATTTATATATTCAAGAAGCACGTTCTACTGAAGGTTCCGGTCTTGTGTCAGTTTTGTTAGAAGGACCGCCAAATAGCGGAAAAACAGCACTTGCTGCTCAAATAGCTAAAAATTCCGATTTTCCGTTTGTTAAAGTATGTACACCAGAGGATATGGTTGGCTTCACAGAATCTGCAAAATGTCTTTCAATTCGAAAGGTAAATAAAAAGTTGATGTTTTCCAATTATGATATAATTAATAATATTTAATATATATTCTTTCTTTTTAGATATTCGACGATGCATATCGTTCACAGCTTAGTTGCATTTTAGTTGATAATATTGAACGCTTGTTAGATTATGGTCCCATTGGACCACGATATTCTAACTTGACTTTGCAAGCACTGTTAGTTTTACTTAAGAAACAACCACCGCGTGGTCGTAAATTATTAATACTTTGTACTACAAGTCGCAGGTAGAGTACTTAATGTCACAATGATACTTAAAGATAATAATTATATGAATTTTTATTAATAAAATTATCATACTTTCTTTAGACAAGTTTTGGATGACATGGAAATGTTATCAGCATTTAGTACAACTCTTCATGTACCTAACTTATCAACTCCTGATCATCTCCTAAGTGTTTTAGAGGAAATGGATCTATTTAGTAAAGATGAACTGGTATCTTTGCATGGCAAACTTCAGGGAAAACGGTATGTCTTTATTCTAAATTAATAATATCAATTTCTGTTTTAAACATACAAATATCAAAAGCATAATTTTTTTTCAGAGTATTCATTGGTATAAAGAAGTTGCTATGTCTAATAGACATGGCACGTCAAGTGGAACCAAACTATAGAGTTGTGAAATTCCTATCGAAATTAGAAGAAGAAGGTGGATTGGAATAATAAGTATATAAAGTTGTAATTATTTGTGTAGAAATGAATTAGATATCATGTACGAAACAATATATAACACGTATGGAATAACATATAATACGTACGTGACAAAAGAATTTGCATTTACATATATTAAATCTATATCAGTTCAAGAAAATCAGGTACAATTGTGCGAGGTATTTATATATCATAAAAATTATTAATTAAGTAATACATTTTAATTATTTCTAAATATTTATATAAAAATTATGTTTTCTATTATTTTTTTAAAATGATTCTGTTAAATATATAGTATTTATAATTTGTTAATTATAGTTTTTCTACGTGCTTATTTGATAATAATTTATCTTTCAAAGTAATTTCCCTAATTTAAAAAGATGTAAAATATAAAATGTAAAAAAATGAAAATATAATAGTCAAAAGGAATAAAATTTTCCGTTAGATAAAATTAAATATTCGTAATAGATTATTGTATAAAATTTGAAATTACTTATAGAAATTCTTACTGTTTACGTTATTTATTATATTTGTATAAAAATGAAATTTGTGTATATTTTTGCAAAAAACACAGAAATGCTTCCTTCAATTTTAATTTGTTATATTCCATCATAAAGTAGATATTTATTTCGTGCAATTGTTTTTCTAACAATTGTCATAGTAATACGTGTAATTATTTATTTATTAGCAAAATTTATTACATGTACTATAAATATATATTTTTATGTCTCCATTTGTACGTAATGTGCATCTATACAACAATCTGTGTATTTATTACTATTTTAAAGTTTATTGTAATTCTAGTTGTAAACATATGTATGTGTTATCATTGATGTTCTAGAATCTATAAATTAATGCCTCTTAGAGGTAAATAAAACCATTCCAGGAATTATTTATATGCAAATATTTGCATTATATACAATTAATAAGTATACCTCCTAAATGAAAACTAGTTTGATTTCAGATAAAGTAATATATAAATCTGAAAAATAAGTAATTTATTTTGTGTTATTTAAATAATATGTTTTATAGAGAATTTTATCTGTATATTGTAAATGCATTACTGAATAATTTCATTTAATTTGATATATGTATATACAGTTTAATAAATTGTTTACAAAAAAATCTGTATATCAATATCAAATGTATTGTTTTGCTTGATAGATATATAATATAAATCTGTGTTAATATATTGTAATAATAAATTTATGACACTATATGTAATATGTGTAACAGTTAAATAAAATCTATTAGAGTATAGAGATAAAAAAATGTTATTATCTTCTAAAATTTACCTTTAATGTGTACATAAAAAATGAAATATAATAATAATGTTGCTTGCTTGATTTTTTCATAGTTTTTATACAAATACAATTATATTGCAATTTAAAATTACAAATTAATTATATTATGCAATAATTTTTAAGTTTTATACTGATCAGTTTTTTCAAATGTTTCAAATTTTATTACAGTATGATGAGTAAATAAGTTATAAAGATCATTATATTAATTTTAATACTTTCTTTAGTTTTTTAAGAAAAGTTTACAATTAAAAAGAAATATTGGGAAACATAATGTACTATTAGTATATAAAAATAGTACGCATATATTTTAATGTATATGTTCTTTTTTTTTGTTAAATTTACTACCAGTTTTGTTAATTTTATTTTGCACATTTTTAAATTGAAAAATATAAGTAAAGTAACAAAGTATTCAATTAAATGTAATTAACAAAGCAATATATAAATTCGACGTTATCAACGATCATTCCCTATTTTCCCACAAAGTTATTATCATATACTTCTTATTTAATATCCCATACTTTTTGCAAAATAACATGTACAATAAATTTTACAGTAAAAAATTTTTAGATAAAAAACAAGATTAAACACATAAATTTGATATAAATTTCTATTTCATAATTATCATTATTTTGTTCATGTAACTAAATATAATTATAATTCTTTGTTGTTTATTATAATATGTACAATCATAAAAAGTATAATTATTTTCCATGTGCTTTCAGTACTTGGCAGTATTTAGGCACCTTAATTCCATTAAGGAAAGAGAAAGAGAACAATTTATATTCATCTTCTCTACAACTTTAAATTCACATGATAGTGATGTTATAACATTTCATTATGATTTTATTTCTGTATAAATTACGTAGGCGAAATAAGCAATTTGAAATAATATCGATATCGATATCGCTGATTTTCGCATATTTTAAAAAGAAAATTTCTCATTCCTGCAATAAAACTTCTGTTAATATTTTTTTTCGTGAATAAATAATTGTGTTGTGGAAGCGTATTAGATACGTAATATATCTATACTCTGAACTGGTTGTACATTTTTCAATTGGTACATTTACAATTCGTACTTGAAATATACTTGTGTAATGAATTCCTGTACAAAAATTTAATACACACGAAGTTTATAATATTCCTTGGTGTAATATTAAAGCATGAATATAGAATATTTACTACAAAATTTAAAAGTAAACATATAAATCAACAATATTCTTAATGATACTCAAGTACGCTTTGATAATACCTATTATAAGTTATAAACAATCCTCAATATTCCTGTATTATAGAAGAATCGATGTTTTGTATTAAGTCATGTTACAAGAATTGCATTAAGTGTTTTACAAGTTATCTCACGATGATAATACTATAATACATACGCAGTCTACAAACACAGATATTTTCTAAATAACAATTATATATAAAATATTTTTAACATAAACATATATACTGGAGGAAAGCTTTAATGTCAATTTGAAACAATATTTGTGACCAGTTTGATATTAATCAGCACCAAACATTTTCTTTTTATGTTCGAATAATTTTATCCTCCATTATAACATCGATCATAAAGTTTCTATATTACAAATAGTTTGTTAATACATTATATAAATAAATTTTAATAAACAAAACTGCTTTCTACTGAAAAGATAAAAATGAGTACAAACTCTTATAATATGTCAAAGTTAGTAAAAAAGCTCACATATATTTTGTTCAATGTAACATGCTTTTTTTTTAATTTATAAAGTGAAAGAGTGATAGAGCAACAGTAAAATGATGATTGTAGAAAGAATATTAAAAATAATTTTATTATTTTATCAGTGTTACTTTTTATATCTTTTTATGATTTAAATTAATTTAAAAAAAGAGAAAAGATTGTACAAAAAACGTTTACCCTTAATAATTGTAACTTCATTATGGCACATGAAAGAAAATCACTTTATTTGAATGTTGAGTCATTAACCTCATAATTAATAGATCATAATGAATTATCTACTATGACTATTTAATATTAATATCACAAATGTTTACATTTAATATTTTTCAAATAGTTCAAATTTCATATTCAATTCGAGCTGTAGCTGGATAGTTATCCCAGCATATTTCAGCATTTATCAAATTTTCAGTCATCTCCATTGTAGAGAAACTTTGTATCTGACATAGTCAGGAAAATATATAATAAAAAATAAGCATGACAATGAGTCAAATCACGATGGCTTACAAGATGGAAATTTCTTAACGTTAATACATGAAATTGGTTTACGCCATCTCCGTTTACTCTGATGTGAATTTGGTTTGCTGTTATGACTATTCCAAGTGGCTTTTTGGTCTTCACTGATTTTGTCTATTTCTTGAAGCCGTTTTTCTTCTGCACAAAAAAAAAAAAGAAATTTATTTAGTATTTGCTTATAAACTTATACTATGAGAGTTAATTCTATTTTAATTTTTTTAGAGAAGTATATAACAGGTATAATAATTATAATTAATCGTGCAATATGTAAAATTTTATCTCTGCAATAATTATAATATCACTACACACAATTTAAAATGCATAACACATGGCAAAAGCTAATACAGAGGGCTATTCCAAAACATTATTGAGTTAAAGATTTCAATTCCATAATTAATTTATATATAATTTTAGATGTTATAAAAGGCATAGAGACAAAACAGGGTATACACTATATAGAGAGTACCCGTTTTTATCAGCTCGCAACATCATAGGTAGATATAAGCGTGTCATTGTTACAGAATGGTGCATGTCTTTGATAAGAATACTAGTAGTCGATTTGAAAAAGATTGTTCAGTATTCCGTTTAGAATCTGAAAAGCAAAAGCTGTATTTTATTGAAGTATTCAGTACTTTTATATTATAATTCATATAATTTATAAAAATATATTTTTTTCAATGATATTTGTTATCTAATAATGTGTATAAAAAAGATAAATGTTTTAAAAAACTTTTAATGGTAATTTCTATTACGTTCAATTTAAGACAATTCATATAAATTATGTAAAACATATTTTGATTTACAAATAATGTTATAAATGTGTAGAAAATTTATACTAATTTTATTAAAATACAATTACAGGACGAATTCATTAGATAAAGTTATTAATCCAGTTACAAAATAACATAATTAAAATGTTGCACAACTGCTACTTATGAACTACAATATTTATGCCACAAATGTATGAATATATAATTTATGTATTTTTTTTTATTGATGCCTTCATGCAAGCAGGTTCTGTCTTACCTCTCTGTTAGTTGTGAGTGTAAAAACTAATATTAAATAATATAGCAACAAAAATTTAAGCTTTAATATATAAGTTTATTATTAACACATAGCACAATGCAAAAGAAAAAATTGAAAGCGAAAAAAATGGAAATACATACCATTCAACTGATGTTCGGTATAATACGTAGGATTATCGTCACCTCCGTAATGATACTCCATCAGGTACGGTAGTACAGTCATACTGTGCCATTTATGTCCTTTAAGAGGAGGTATAGGCACTTCTTCTTGTGTTCTAGGATGCCTGCATATAGTCCATGGATGTTTTTTAACTTGTTGCAAAGTAAATCTTTTATCTGCATCTTTTTGCAACATTCCTTGTATTAGAGATTTTAGAGGTTCTTCTACTTCTTCAGGAATAGAATATTCACCTTTTCCTATATTTTCATATAATTTATAAATATTATCGCCTTGAAAAGGATATTGACCTGTAGTTATATTGTACCTATAAAATATTTATAATTTGATTAAAAGATGCATACTGAATTTCTTTTTTTATGAGAAATAAAATTTGATTTATGAATATAGTTTGTTTCAGCGTAATAGATAAATATCATTCATAGGAAAATATATATTTACAATGTAACTCCACTGCTCCATATATCTACTTTAAAACCAGAAAATGTTTCACAGCCATTTGCAATTTCAGGAGGCTGAAATGCTGGTGATCCTTGTCCCATCTTACATGTATCATCTTCAGAAAACATATCTAATGCCTAATAAAAACAGGATAATTTATACAATTTTATCTTTTAATTTATAATTTATTTTATTCCTTATACAAATTTTAACTTCACACTTGAATTTATGTATTACATTAATATAATTAAAAAAGATGAGTTAAAATGTACCTCAGCAACTCCAAAATCACTGATTTTCAAGGTACCATCTAAAGCTAATAATAAATTCCCTGGTTTTATATCTTTGTGTACTATTCCTTTACTGTAGAGGTATTCTAAACCATCCAATAACTGACAGAAATAGTCATGTGCTTGCCAAATTGGAAGCTTCTTAAGAGGTGTGCTTCCCAACATATCCTGCAAAAAATCTAATAAATAGAAATCTAATTGTTGTTAATTCCATGCAAATTTTTATTATACATAAAATTAGCATAAAGTAATAAATTTTAAAATACATAAAATTAAATTATACTAAATAACTATATATTACAAAAATTACATTGTATGGAATTAATTAGACGGAAATATTAATTTTTTTATATATACTGTCTATTGAAACTTGTTAGGTTAAAAAAAGGGAAGAAAATGTATTTTTCAATTTTAAGTATTGGTATAATATAGAGAAAAAGATATTTTCAAATGTTTATAAAAGCATTACGAATTTTTATAAATGCTGAATTATTTATAACTCAGATTGCATCTGAAACTTTAAACGCGATCAAATATCAATTTATAAAGGCATATGTGTATAACACACATTAAAATAAACCATGTAAGGCTTTTGAACTTTACCTGTAATCCACACACACAAAATTCCATAACTAGGTACATCTTCTCCTTTTCATCATTATACAAAACATCTACAAGGTTAATTACATTCTTATGTTTTAATATCCTTAATAGTCTTATTTCCCTGTTAATGAATGTGAATAAATAATATTTAGAATTTTAGAAAGTAATCATATATATATATATCTAAAAAAATACATCAGTATAGCCTTCTTTTTTAAGGTGTTATATAAATTATAAAAGTCAATAAATATTTATGATTTTTAACATTATGCTTTTTATATATGAATTAACATTAAAAATAATAATATACACAGAACCTAATTTTATTATATATATATATATATATACACACACATATATATATATATATATATATATATATATATATATATATATATATATATATATATATATATATATATAGATAGATAGAGGCTGAACTTGGCCCCGATGCCTGAATGTGCCGAGAATCCCAGAGGGAAATACAGAAATACAGATAACCGAGGTGGTTTATTATTGTAGCGACATTGAATAGGGGGTTGGTGGGTTGACTGGCTCGTTGGCTGGCTGGCTGTTTGGCTGTTCGGTCGTTTCTCCCAGCGACGGGTTCGAGCTGCGCTCAAATAAGTACCAGCGTCGCGCAACGACGTTTTCTCTTCCTTCTTTTTCCTTTCTCTGTCTCTTCTACTTTTCCTCTTGGAAAATTTCTTTTCTGCTCCTCGAGTGTCACACGAAATCGTTTCCCCTTTTCTCGTCCTTTTCCTCTAGGATCTAAGAATTCGTTGCACTTTGACGGATCGAGCGTTAACGAGAGCCTTCGACAACTAATTGCGAGTGTAGAACGAGTAGTCTTAGTGAGAAACTTGAGAAGATGATCGATCGATTTCGGATTCTTAAAGCAGGGAACTGTTTTTCTTTGACAACCAGGCGGGAACAAGTATTTTTACGAGATTGATCGTTCTCGATTGATTTCTCTCGCGATTCTTTTTTATCGAGGCAACGCGAATGATTTACTTCCTTTTATTTATCAGGGTCGCTGCCCTGCAAGTAAAGGTTATCGTCAATTATGCATTTGCAACGCTACGGTTCAGTTGTTCGATACCAAGAAAGTGCACATGTGTTAATTGTTTGAAGAAAAAAAAAAAAAAAAAAAAAAAAAAAAAAAAAAAAGAAGAAGAAGAAAAGAAGGAGTCGAGGCTGCAACGATCGGTCGAATAAAGGCATTCGTACTGTTCACACTGATGCAGAACAGAAAATCACGTATCACGTTCCAACAACGTCGATGCAAGTCGATACTTATTCCACGATTATTTACCCTGAAAAGCAGAATTGCATTCCAATTTATCTACAATCGCGATCCGCTCCTGTCAAACATTATCAATCCCATTTCGATTTCAATTTTATCCAAACGGTGAAAATTCGACGCTTCTTCTTTAAAAAAAAAAAATTCAAAATCATTCTTTACTGTGTGTAATATAAAATTTAAAGAAAGAAAAAGGAAAAAAAAGAAAAAAAAGAGTCGAGACTGCAATGATCGGTCGAATAAAGCCATTCGTACTGTTCACACTGATGCAGAACAGAAAATCACGTATCACATTCCAACAACGTCGATCCAAGTCGATACTTATTCCACGATTATTTACCCTGAAAAGCAGAATTGCATTCCAATTCATCTACAATCGCGATCCTGTCAAACATTATCAATCCCGTTCGATTTCAATTTTATCCAAACGGTGAAAATTCGACTCATCTTCTTTCAAAAAGAAAAATTCAAAATCATTCTTTACTGTGTGTAATATAAAATTTAAAGAAAAAAAAGGAAAAAGAAGAAAAGAAAGAGTCGAGGCTGTAACGATCGGTTACTGTTCACACTGATGCAGAACAGAAAATCGTCGATGCAAGTTGATACTTATTCCACGATTATTTACCCTGAAAAGCAGAATTGCATTCCAATTTATCTACAATCGTGATCCGCTCCTGTCAAAACATTATCAATCCCATTTCGATTTCAATTTTATCCAAACGGTGAAAATTCGACGCTTCTTCTTTAAAAAAAAAAAAAATTCAAAATCATTCTTTATTGTGTGTAATATAAAATTTAAAGAAAAGATAAAAAAAGAGAGTGGAAATGCTTCGATACAAGAGATTGGACAGAGAAGTGACGATCGAATGCGAGAACGGGCACTACGAACTGCGAGAACGGCGCACGGAGAGCTCGTTTCGAAAACTCGAATACACACGGGGTCATTGTACCCCGACGCGAGTCAATTTAATGGCAAAGTCGCGGGCAGGCGTGTGCAGAGCGGTGTGCAACAAACAGCCGCGGCGGCGGCGTCGCCGTCTCGTAAGCAGCAGCTCCGCTTATCGTAGGGCAAGTTCAAGGCTCGTCGCGGGTCATAATAATCGCGTATCGAACTCACGCTCGTTCAGAAACAAACGTGTTGTTTGCTGCCGATACGGCCGAACGCTCGCTTTTCCTCTTTCTTCCTTCTCTCCTTCGTGGCCGCGATAAAACGTACAGTTGCCTAACAATTAAAACGAATCGGCTCGTTCCTCGAAACACGCAATGATTTCTCGTTCCAGCCGCGAGAGCAAAAAGTCGAGAATTCGTGACATATGTCGCTGTTTTTTTTTTTTTTTCGTTTTTTTTTTTTGTTTTTTTTTTTTTTTTTTAGATGTAATGTTAATACATAATTACAAAGATAAAGATATCAGATTGATACGAAAAATGTTTGCTTCTATTCCAGGGATAGTGCATAGTTGGGTGGTATGATGTGAACTACATTAGAAACGTGAAAACTGTATATAAAATCATTATTTAAATTAAATAAAAAGTTGCAGCCAATATATCGGGGAAGGACAACAAAAATTTGAATAACTTAATTGAGTTTAATTTTTTATTTACGAAATTAATATATAATTTGATTTTTTAACAATGAATGCAGATTTAAAATTGGTAAATATCGTATTGCAAAATGTATCATTTGCACTTCTAATTACTAGATAATCAACGACTTATCAGTAGTCAATTCTATTTGTATGAGTTTTGAAATACTATTTAAAATACAAGATGTTTGTAGTAAGTCCTTTAGTATAATATTCTTCACTTATTATATAGCTGTACCTCGTTCCAAATTCAGCTTTGTTTCACGCGTATATTCCCCATAGAACCTTTCTAATTTCTGGTTGAATTTAGCATTACGTTCGTTGATGTAATCGATATCGGCGTCGTCATTGTGCATTCTTCTTCTGCTATACTTTTCTCTCTTTGCAATTCTGAAAAAAGCAAGAAAATTATAATATACGAGGATGTTGTAACCAGGCTATAAAATACTGATTATAAAATACTAACTGTTTTTCCAAGTTTTCCACCATTTTGTCAACAGCCTCTTTCTTATCTTCATGTAGACCATGTAATATAGTGTTTCTATCTCCATAAAAAGCTGGACCTAACTTTTCTTTAGCTTCGTTATATGAATCCATGTTTGGTTTAATATTTTTCACCAGCCTATTATATTGACGAATAGCTGCTTGTTCATAATCTGAAAAACCTGGATCTGGATTCTTTTTATTTTTTTTCTTTCTTGCTATACGTTCTGCTTCTGTTGCATCAATGTGAAGTAATTTTGTTCTCTCATAATCTTCTCCCTATAAAATATATAAATATATATGTATATATAAACTTAAGTAACATATTCTATAGCATACAGTACTTATAATAGATTACTTTTTCTTCGGCAGCTTTTCTTGCAGCTTCATCTTGAATGATCCATTCTGCTTGCCTTTTACGAGATTCCCAATTCGAAGGAAGTTTATTCCTTTTGTCCTCCTCTACAACTTCTTTATGATTTTGCTGTCTAGCCTCATTCTACGAAATCAACATTCCATAAGAAACATTCACCCACGAAAACTACGTTTCGGAAACAACAAGAAGAAGAAGAAGAAGTTGAAATTGAAATCCAAACATTCAGGTTAAACTACAATTTTACATTACTTTGTACTTACTCTTTTTGTATGGAGTTCTCTCAAGCGTTTCATTCTTTCAGCATGTTTCTCCGCGACTGATTTCCCATCATTTGCGGTCTCGTTTTCCATCTCTAAGTTCAAATCAGTTTCAATATTTTTAGAAAAAAAGAGAGAAAGAAAGAGAAACAATAACGCAATGTCACTCGTCGAAAGGTTAGAATGCAATTGCTAGTCAAGCGATATTAACCACTGTCTGTGATACACGTGTTTGTTGGTGGCTCCGACAGATGTCAGCAAGTTACGATTCGTCGACGAAAAAGGCGAACTCCATTTGCCCGACGTCTGTAGGTGGTGGATCGATTGAAATTGATCTTCTCTGGTGCGGAGTCGGGAACGCAATAAGCGGATCCTGTGATATCCTGTCGTTCAACTCGTAGAGCGCGGTGATATTAGCCGTCAAGGGGAGAAGCCAGGTGATTTTTCATCCGCCGGTAGGAAATCGAAGAGGACGATACCGGTCGATCACAAGTCGCGTTGAGTTAGCAGCAGCACTCGTGAAAGGTTCGCGTTTGCGCGAACCCCGACGGTGAAACGTGACGCAGAATTGTACGCTGGCGGCGGTTGTGTCGCAGAAGAAAGTTTCGCGCTCTGCGGGCTTTTGGGGATTACCCGCGAAGCGCGGTCACAGGGTGCCGCGGAAGCTCTTCTCGAGACGATCACAAGGGATAGAAGAGGCACGCACGCGATTTCTCACTCGCGGTACATTCTGTCGGATAAATTAATTCTCCCTGTACCGTTATGGAGACTCTCGAATCTAGTCGCGTCTGCCGTCTTTGCGGCAAGCAATCCGGTATCTCGATTAATATTTTTGACAAGAACGAGAGCCACGTGAAGAAAATCAACGCTATTCTCCCAATTATGGTACGTCATATCACTCTACTCCCTTCTACATTTGTATCGTTTCGTTACGAATTTCATGTGTATTCGACTCTCCTCCTGACATTCACGCCCCCTCCTAAACCACCTTTTTCTTTTTTGCCAGAAATTCTACTTCCTGCTAAAATGGAACAATGCTCCCTTTCAGTGTAAATTAATACGTGTACCGAATTGATGCCTTTTTCATATAGTTTGGTACTTAGGTGGTTCACGTTTGCCAATAGTTGAAACCTTTTTGTAAATAAGTTTATTGCTTGTATAAAGTGAGGTTATTGTTACTTCGCGCCAATGAGCTTCATAAACACTTTTAACGTATTGCATAACTTCGGGGTCGTAATTGTTTCTTTCAATTATTTGACCATTTATGAATTCGAAGAGGAACATTTGAAAGTAGAATCTTTCTTCAGTAGAGTATCAAGAAAATAAGAAATATCAAAGTCTGTAAGTAAAAATTGAATATTACAAAGGGTTGGTTATTACTTTCAAACCAGTTGAATGTTACATATTTCGTTAGCTTGAATTTTTTAGATGCACAATATAATATAATTTAGAGAGACGGGAATGAAACATACAGAAGAGGAAAGAAATTGCGTTTCTCGCGTATCAAACAAAACAACTTACATCACATTGTTACAATTTAAAAAAAACAAAGTCTCCTGTCTCCTTAGAATTGAAACATTTTTTCACTGTACTTGCTTTCTTATTTTCATTTGAAGATATAATTAATCGTTCCCACGGAGCTAATTTTATTACTCACTTAAAGTTATATTACTTATTTTTGTATTTTTGTTCAAATATTCTATTGTAAATTTTAACATTTTAACGTTTCAAGCATGTCCTTAAAAAGATTGTCGGAAATGGAACACTATCCTTCAATTCCTCGCCCTTTAACATCCTTCGCGCATTTGTACAGCACGTGCAGTAATCCCCCACCTCGTTTCTTAGAAGCGACCACGTGAACTTAACACTCGCATTCGCATCGGCTGTGTATCCTGCAGGTGCACGAAATGGACCTGTTGCCGAAACACATGTGTCATCGATGCAGTTACAAACTCGAGGAGTTCCACAAATTCTACGTGGACTGTCTGAAGACAGATGCGAGTTTGAAGAGTCAGTTGTCATGGATGCGAAAGGAGGACTCAAAGGAGAGAGTCGGTGTGCCGATGGTACACATAGAGAATATCAAGATCAAAGTAGAGCCACCGGATTACGACTTGTACGACATAAACCCTATTGTCGAGGATGACGAGTACATAAGTTCAATGAGCTCGGTAACCTATCCGGTAAACAGTGTTCAATCCAATAATATTCCCGAGCGTATAACGTATACCACGTATGCACGTTGCGGTTGTTACTGTGATAAAGCGGACCAAAGTAATCAAGCTGTACCTACGAGCTACGAAAACAAAATGTCGAGATGCAGTAGGATAAACGATACGAAACCAGATAACGATGACCGCGGTAATGCATCACGAGTTGTGCAAGGAAACTTGTTAGCGCATCAAACGCTCAAAGAACGGTCAAATTTAATACGGCTCACCAACGAGGCTGAAGATTCTAGGAGATGTAATTTCTCTAATTTGGATCTACCGGAGGATAAATCCGGCATCGTGAAGAAAGAAACCTCGAGAAATATGATAGTTCATAACTTGAGGCCTAGAAAAAGTTCTGTAGACTACGTGGGAATTAGGAAAAAACGTTCCGCTCGTTCGTCATTGAACGTGAAGAGTAAATCGACAATTGCAGAGGAAAAAATGCCAACTTCAGCCGAATTCGATGTGACGCAGATTAAAATAGAGAAACTCGATTTTGAGGGACGTATCTTGAGACCGAGGAAAGGGACCATTAATTATAGAGGACCAATACGGAAATATTGTAGGTCCACGAATAAGAACCAAAGATTGCAAACTGATCAACATCTAGCGGATATAATGAAGGTTCGGAATGTTGCGAATACATTGAAATTACCGTCGAAGAAGGTGCCGAAACCGATAAAAAATAAAATAAAGTTGGATATAAAGGAGGAACAGCTTTCAGATCTCGAGAATTTAATACTTGATGAATCGGTATCGGCCGCCATGTTATCTCTAACCGATCAAATTGATGCACTGCCTAGCAATTATAATATAAATGTACAAAATGATAGATTTAACTCTAATACGTTAAATCGTACGGAGCAACACACCGATAATATTAGTATAGCAAAATGGAAACCATTGCGATATCTACCCAAGGGTAAATTAAAATCGAGAAAGATCGGTTCGAATCAAATCGAAGGGATGAATTATTCGAAGAAATATTTAAGAAGTCAGGATATTTGTCTGAGAAACGGTAAGATAAGGAGACTCGATAGCACGCATACGTCGGTTAGAAAATTACGAAGAAGTCTTCGAAATCTCATGGCTAGAAATAAAACATCCGATACAACTTTAATGAAGGCAATCGGAAGTACTGTTACAACCAAAATGTCCACTGCAATGAAAGTGCTCGATATGAAACATTACTGTGAAGAATGTAACACGAGTTTCGCTAACAAAGAATTGTTCAAATTACACGCGTGCTATGGACATTGATCTTTTTACAAAATTGCGGATAACATAATGTATAAATCATTATTTTTGAAACAATTCACGTTATACATTTGTACAATTCTATTCGTATAAGTACAATTATACGATCGTTATTTGTATTCGAATGAATGAGATGATTATATAGATTTCACTTATCGTTAATCATACGTAGAAATACTTCTTTTTTCTGAAAGCAAAAAATACGTATCTATGAAATTATTTTAGACACACGTTATATATTCATACCATTCACATATTAATATTGTAATTATTTTTGTGAATGAAGATGTATACTTATGAAATTATCAATAGTGAGTAAGACAAGAAACTGTTGCGATGTACGCTTAAAAATTTATGTAGATAAAGATTTCACGAATCGCCTTCAAAGTTTGAAATAGGATCATATATTCTATGTGAAAAGATATATACATATATTTTAAGAGATATCAGATATTCATATACAAAAAAAATTGTGATACATAGTGAAAATGTCTTAGGTTTGTATTCATCTTACGTGTAATTACGTCATCTATTTTTTATTTCATGTTGTTCTTATAGTCTAATTAAAGCCAGTAATCTTTGTCATCGAACAAACTGAATGTATGTATGTATTTCATACATATTCATAGCTTTCGTACATCAGTGATATTTCGATGTGACGGTACATATCATTTTGTGTTACACTGAAAATGTACCATTGGTATTGTTAGAAAGGATGATGATCGGGTTTGTGCAAACTAATCGTAAATAATGATTAATGCTTTGTACTCTAAAATGTTATTAAACTCTGATTCTATTATTTATTGTTATTGGATACTAAGTGCACTCGTCATTCCTTTTGACACAATTCGTTATTAAATAAGAAATGTTCTTTACCTAACAATTTAATAATTAAAAAGTTGCAGTTGCAGTTGCAGTTATTACACAGCAGTTATGCGCTTACAAATGGATCGATCAATAAATTTTGAATGGAACAATAAAAAATATATTTCTACTAATTATTGCTTCCTTATTGCTTTATCTCTATTTATTCATTATTCCATTGCACAATTGTTTCATTCTTTGTTCCTTTTTTTTTCAGTGTTTTAAAATGTTTTTTACGTTACTTGCCAGGTGAGGTCGCTACGAGACGACCATTGAGCGAATTAAAATTATCAAACAAACAAAAAGTACGCCAAGTGTCAAATGACTCCAAAAAAATGATTGATTACCTGGATTACATTCTTCAAAAGTGTTATCAGTGAAAAATCCGAATGTCTTCAAATCCTCAGAAGTCCCCTCGTTATGAGGATGTAAGTGTTTGAATATTTTTCTTCAGTTGTATTAACCTATCTTACTTTCTAGATGACGGTTGACAGTTGACTCTCTTTAATTTATCAATAGATTTATACTTATTAATGTAATATATATTTATAAAATATAAATTTAGAAATACAAATATAAAAATATATATTTTATATGAAAATATAAATATATAAAGGTTTCTTATTTTCTTACAATAATCAGTAATTACATACATGCATTTTTGAATCACTTACAGTTGATCTCAACGGAAGATGATACTCTGGGTACATCTATCAGTCTTAGTGTAGGAGAAAATTCAATAAGAATAAAAGAGAAACCTAAGGTGGTTAAAAAATCAGAGACAGAAGATAAGTATGAAGAGGAAAAGTGGTGGTTAAAGAAACCAGATATCTGGCTTGATATTTCACATGCTATTCCAGTAGATGCAAAGGCTAAACAGTCTCCATCTCCTTCCCCGGATGTTAGTTCTTCAATGAAAGAATTTCTTGAAAAAGAAAAGATGTGCAAAGTAATTACGGTTATCGTTATTTATTATCGAATAATAACTTTCTAAGTAATGAGACATTTTAGTCTGTGATTTTTGTTTTTTTTTACTTTTCATAGGCTATGCATAAAAATGAAGTTGAGATGAAAGATAGAGATGACACTCTATGTGATATTTTGGCTTCTGCAGCATTTGATAAATATCCTTCAGACTTTGAAAGTGAGTATTAAGAATTGTATTATTTTCGTGTAATTTTGTAAGTATAATCAAATTAAAATCTTCATTGTTCTATATAGATGCAACTGATGAGGATATTGGCAGTATTTTAGAAGAAATGAGTAAGATAGCTGGAGCTCTTAGTCCTAATTCAACTACAGATCATTCAAAATCTCGAGATTCTGCCAAAAATCTTACAGAGGAAGAGAAATCTGTAGAAGAACTATTAGAAGAGGCTGAGAAA